TTGTAGATCGACACAACACATTTTGATTAATATTTTGGGAATGAAGCGATTCAATGATAGACCTTAATCTTTTGCAAAAACGACGTCGAGTAAAGGACGCAATAGAGATTCTTGACAATGTAGCTGAAGACCCTACTTTCATCAAATACTTCATTACTAGTACCAAGACGTGGGTTTATGAATTAGTGAATGGAGTTCCAAAAATAGACCGAAACAGAATAAATCGAAATCGCTGTAAGCACTGAAAGCCATCCTACCTACCCGAGGCTTATAACAAGTGTATGGAAAATTGGATTAAGCGTTGACCCAAGAGTTGTTTTTCGTCAAACCAAATCAAATTTGAACAGAATCTGAACCAATAATGAGAGTTTCAAAAATTCCCAGTCGCTTACCTCCAAAACTATTTTGGGAATGTCCTGAGCCGATATATAACAACAAAAACATCTTAAATGAGCTAACAAACAGTAACATAGCTTAAAACACATGTTCAGTTGGGTTGAATCTTACACCTCTCAGGCACCTTTTTGTAAAATTATCGAGATAGAACAAAGTTGAGGCTTGGGTTATTCTAGATACCCGAAATTTTCAAAAAAAATTCATGAGTATGAAACATGCCGACATTAAACATTTAAAAACTAGAGCTCGATTAATACCAACCATACTTTGAAATAGCCACTCCGATGGCCAATAGCCAGATCCGATTTCAGAAGAGTACGACTAATATCAAATGGGTAACTGGGATATTTCTATTAAAATATTTATAAAAAATGTGAACCATTACATATACACATCCTGACCCTCGACTAACGGGCTAAGCACTTTACAAATAACATAAATTTTCTATAAAAGATGTGCTGACATGACCAAAACGAGATTATTTACCGTTTTCAGTCTATAATTTTAGAGAAAGCCTCTCAGATCGCAAATTGCTAGAACTAATTTCTAACTTGAGCTTTATAGTTGTTCTAGGTATTTGTCACATATATGTTCTTATTTGTTGTGTTTGTCGGAGGATGAATCCTGCTATTTTTGAACGCACTACAGCGGTCAATATATTCTTATTTAAAGTGAACATAGTCAAAAGTTCACACAGGTCTTTTTGGGGTTATGAGTGAACTTTTGCCCTTTTTGAGGTGTCCATCTTTTGAGCAAAATGAAGGATTCTATAAGTTTTAAACTTTTTCTAAAAGATCTTTTTGGGTTGGAATACACCCAAAGGTTTTATTATTATTGTACTTTAGAGACTTTGATTTAATTCGTTAGTTTTTTGACAATTTTGAACTGGAAAAACTGAAAAAAATGGCCGGTTTCAACCCTTCTCTTGAATAGAATGAAAAATATACCTAGCAATATAAATAAATTGCGAATTTCTGCAGAAAGGTTCATAACTAAAAGGACAAAAGTGATAATGTGCCAACAAAATATATCAAATAGACGAATTTCGTTCTTAAGATTATTTTGGAGTGTGAAGAAAAAAAGGTTTTAGTGTAAGACAATGCATTCTAATGCAAATATTTAGAGGTAGTTTCCAAATTAAGGAATAATCTATAAATAAAGCAGCTTCGGCAGAACTAAGGAAACCCTATTTTGAGATATAATAAAAATTATTGAGGCAAAGAAGATGAGCTAAGCAAGATTCAAACTATAAGTCGTTTTATTCTAGTACTTAAGATAAGATATTACGATAATTATATATACTTAGTTATACTCTCTTCATATTAATGAAGAAATCCATAAGCAACGAAAGCCATCTTTCTTTAATCAACTTAAGTATAATTCTACAAAAATGTGTTGTTTAAATATTAAAACCAATTACTATTCAATACAACCAAAAACCCCTCAGCACAAACAAACTCAAAAAGTCGAGAGAATAAACAAAAAGCCGGTAAAAACCTTACAAAAATATGCGGCAAACAAAACAGCTGCAAAAGAAGAATTTCTTGTCAATACTTTTAAGCCAGTAGCCTAAATCGAAGCCTGAACTCAAGCCTCAGCTCAGCTGATCAACAACACAAACAACTTGAATAACAACATTTTTCACACATTTTCTCTCTACCAACAACCGTTGGTTCACAAAAGCGCTTGCGCTCGCACAGTGCAATTGACAAGGTATAGCGTACTCGCTCACACATCAGAAGAGCAGCTCGTAGCGATCAGCAGCACAAGTGGCAGCGCATTGCGACGGCGGTGGTGGTGGTTGTTTTTGTACTACACTCTCTGCTGCCTGTTAACAGCGCTGTTAATTGACTGTTGCTGTATTCACTGTGCTGGCTAGATGGTTATTGTTGTTGGCGCGCTGCGCTTGTTGCCATCTGCCATTTATATTTCTGCGTTGCGATGGCGAAGTGTTGACGACTTGGTTCGTATTTGGGTGCAACATTTCACTTCATTACGTTTTTAACCAACGACGCGTACGGTTGATTCGCAAAAGTAGCGCCGGCATACGAAAATGTTAAGGAGTGATTTCGTGCAAACATGAAATTGACTTAACGTAAGTGCGTGTGGATAAGTGAAGTGAGAATATTTGGCAGTAAAATATAAATATAATACAATAAAGTGAGAAATAAATGACCAAATAGAAATACTGAAGTCGAAATTTAAGCTTGTGAGTGAAACACCGACCAAAAATAAAGAAATTCTTCTAAAACATATCAAAATTTGATAACAAAGAACTTGTGAACAGTCCAAACTTTGTGTAATATTCAAGCAACAAGCGCATAAGGCACCTTTAAAACAAAGTGTGACAAAAAATTGTTTGAAAAACTTCTAAAAATCGTTTGCAACTCAAAAATGGTACGCAGCCTGGCACAGTGGACGAAAACCCTCAGTTTTCCTTCACGCCTCTCACCCAACCGCAATTCGAAAGATTGTACCAACTTGAATACCACTAGTCCTGCACCGCCACCCACACCGCCAAGGAATAAAACTACAAACACCACCAACAACAACAACAATAATTGTTCAACATCACGTTCCTCAACGTCCACAGTGTCATCTTCACACTCGAATTCAACGACACCATCACCTACCACCATGGGCAACAACAGCGCTAATAACAATTACAATGGCAATAACAACAAACATAATTTGCCCATCACGGAATTAGAGCAAATTGTGAGTATTAAAAGAATTGCAGCACTTAGACTAAGACTAGAAAAAGTTACAACAATAACAATGGCAGTTTAATACATTTCCACGCTAGGCAGCGCAGAAAAGTGCCAGCAAGCATGTTGTTGTTGATTGACAGTAGCATGTTATCTAGCGGGTCAAGAATTCAATAGTCGAATTCTCATGCATTCCCTGAACTGGGTTGAGCTGGGAATGCTGCGGCTGCCAAGAATGCATTCAATTATTGTTAGGTTTTGTTTTTGTTTGAGGCAGGAATGCAGCGCACTTCCAGCTCAAGCTCAAACTCAACCGTTGCCAATTAGTTCCGCCAGCTTTTCGATGTGATTTTGCTGTAAATCGGCGCTGGTGTTGAGCTTGTCTGTTCGGTAACTGCTTCTGCCTATCTAACCATCTCACTGTGCTCAGATTGTGCATGAGTTGTCAGAAAAAGCGTTCGCATATTTATGAAATGATGTGTGACTTTATTATAAAAACAAAAAATAAATAAAATAAATACAGAAAAAAAAGAATTTCACCGCATTCGTTAACGTTGACTCACAAGCCTTCTATGAACTTCAATAGTTATGTGCCAAAGAGACCACGTTGTTTGCAGCAACCAGTTGTGGGCAGTCACATTAATGGTATTCGAGAGGTTTTTGGTAGGAGAAATTGATATGAATGAAATTGTGAATAAATCGAAATTAAGGAATCAAATATTTTGAAGCGATATTTGGGAAAAAATAACAGATTTTAATGAAAACACTTAAAACAAAAAAATATATTTCGAACAAATTTGTAAGCCAATTTAAGACATTTTTAATGTAATATTATTACAAACTAAATTTAAAAAAATTATTAATATTAAAAACAATTACTTTTTATATCAAAAGATATCAATATTAATACGTGAATTTACATAAAACAAAACTTAATTGAGTAAAATTAAAAACATATAATATTTTGCACGCGGTTAAAAAAGTTGTTGTGACAAAATTAAATTTTTTAAATTTACTTGAAATATTTTTTGTATAATCATAAAATAAACTTAATTAAAATAATATATAATAAACAAATATTTTAAATTAAAAAAATAAAATAAATAAATTTTAATAATAAAAATAAATGAAGAAATAAAAGCAAAAATTGATAATTGTCTAAAAAAGTCGATTAAAATAATTGAAAAAGCAATTATGACAAAATAAACATGATGCTTAACAGCTAATAAATAATAAATTTAATAAAAAAATAATAATTTAAGAAATAATCCACAAAATGCATATTTGATTTAAAAAAATAATTATAAAATATAATTGAAAACAAATCATGAAAAAATATTTTTTTTTAATTTTTTTTTCAATATTTTTTGTAATTTGTAATATATAAAACGATTGAAATATCATATTATAAGACTAAAACTAATAATTTATAAAAAAAAAAAACATTATAAAGAAAAACATTAAATTAAAGTCCAATAATTTTTTTACACATAAAATATATTTTAAAATTATATTAATAACTTAATTAAATTAAGTAATATAGTTTTGACTAAATTATGAATTTTAAACAAATTTAATAAATAAAATTAAAAGTCAAAAGCTCTAAAAACTTAAAAAAATATAACGCGAAAATAATTAAAATAAAATTTGAAACTATATAAAATAAATTTTAATTAATATTTAATGATCTAGTTAGAAAAAAAAATTTCTTTTGAATAAAAAATCATATTATGTCACTAAAAGTAATAATTAATAAAAAAATATTAAAGTAATAACAACTTTTACTAAAAATTCAATAACTCTAAAAACTTTCAGAAAAAAATTACGGAAAAATAATATATAAAATAAATTTTAAAGTATTATACTTGTATATAAAATATTATTATAATTTTTTTTAATAACTTAACTTTTAATTTAATTATTAGTATAATTTTTTTTTAATAACTTAACTTTTAAATTATATTTAAATTTGCTTACACAACAATAAACCGAAAAAATAAAAAGTAAATTTATAAAACAACAATTGCAACAAAATAGTGCAAAATGAATTACAAACAAAAAAATCGAATCAACTAATCGTCAAAATAAACGCGAAATAAATAAATCAAAATCTCGAAAAATTAATCAGAAACCCGAAACTAATGCAAAGAAATGCAAATAAAATAATAACAACAATAATTTATGCACAAAACCGGATGTGGTTTGTTTTTAAGCCATTACACATCGTAAATTTATTTTAAATATATAATACAAATTTATATGTATGTAAGTAGTAAATATATATAAGTATTGTGCCATTTCACTTTATGCGGAATTCAACGCCGCCAACACGAACAACAACAAATGCAAAACAGCTGTTGATACGAGTATCCAACCAAAATGTGTATCAAATTACTCAGCTCCTATGCAAATTGAGGCCAGCTGTCAATTAGCGATAAAATATATTCACTTACGTAGTTATCTACATTTATACATATGTACATATGTATGTGATTTTATGTGTTTGCATGCTAGCATTTGAGACTGGATTTTGCTGGGCAAAAGCATAATAAACGCCATTGATAAGCGAAGGTAAATAACAACGGTACTTCTTATGGCCTAAATAAGCAATTCTAATGGGTGGAGGGAAACTATTTTTCTACGCATAAAAGCAAAGAAATGTGCAGTAGGCTTCTACAGAAGTAAGTCACGATTAGCAGGATTTGAAGTTGTGGGAGATAGTTAATGCGAATGACCTAGAAATATAACGGTGAAAAAAACTGTATTTTTGGGAGTGGCTGGTGAGTAGTGAGGGAAGCCTAAAATGTTATTTGGAGTGAAAGAAATGTTTGAAATTAAACAAAAAAAATATTTTGAATATGACTTATGGGAGAGTTTATGCAATACTGTGATGAATAGTGTTATGGCATGAAATTCAAGCAGCATACTCACGTGATTTTCGTTTGCTTGCAATTCTTAAGCGATTTATGCTAATTTTTCTTTTGATTAGATGTTTTTTTGTTTTAAGTTAACTTCTTATAAAAAAGGATATTGCAATTATATAGGGTAAAAATAGAGAAATTTCGATTACTATAATATTATTTTGGAACATATAAAATATAGGTATATATATAACCGTTATCAATCAATATCAATATATATACATATATCATAAATAATAAATAGAATATGCGAGCCATTTCAGAAAAAGCTCTACACTACTTACATATATGTATATAAATAATATTTATTACTTTACATACATATATGTATACATATATACACCCAAACACACCCCTTCACTGTTACAAATTTCATAAATTTTCCAACGTCAAACGCAATCGATAGCTATTTGTACAAGTTTTATCGCCTACGGCATTTCTGTGCATCAACCCAGAGTCAATAAAGTTTATGCAGTCAAATGTAGATATATACATACATATGTGTTTTTTTATACATATATACATTAAAAAGTCTTGTGTTTACATTGTATGGCTGTTAATACCTTGCTACTGTGCACATTCAAAGCCTTAAAAATCAATTCCATAAATACTATAAAGCGTCAAGTATTTAGTTGCACATAAGTAAATACCCACACATATATGTACATTCAATCATACATATTTACAGATGAGTAAAATATAACATGTGTGTCACAAACAAATAGTTTAAAGCAAGAAAAACTAAGTTTTTATTATTATTTTCACTTTAACGCTCAGCAGTTTGTGTTAGCGTTGTGTTATAAATGAAATTGTTAGTGTAAAAGCAGCACCAACAACTAAACAAATGCATTTTATTTAAACAAGCAACTGCATTTCAGTCAAAGATATCGGTAATTCCACATTTATTGCCTTCTTTAATTTAATGCCAAACAAACAAAACCAAAAATTTGTTTAAACAAAGTGGCAACATTTTTGTCTGCGCTCCAATATTAGTTACTATGTGTGTGTTTTTGTGCATTTTCAATATTTGTATGTAAATGTAAAGGAATGTATATGAACTGCAAAGAATGCGTTTAATATGAAGCACTGAAATTTGTTTAAATATTTGATTAGTTGGCGCTTTGATGGCGGCGCGATAAAGAAATTTTAGGGAAAATAATTAATTTCTTTTAATATTTATTTTACTTGTAATTAATTAAAAAGTTATATAGATATAATCTAATTTGAATTAAAAAAATTAATATGATTAAAATTTGTTTCTTTTGAATTTTTAAAAATTAAATATGATTTAAATGTATTTTTTTAATAATAATAAAATTTTAAATTTTTCAAATAAAAAGTTTAATGTTATTAATATAATAAAATTTAAATAGTAATTAATATAATTGGAATTTGTCTTTTTTTAAACTATTTTTAAATTTTATTAAATTTAAATTTTTTCGTTCAATTTTTAAAAATTAGTTAATACAGGTAGTCATAAAATATTTTAACCTACAACTTAACAACATTTTTTTAAGTAAAAAAAATTAAGGGTAATTAAAAAAATTAAATGTAATAAATAATATATGTAACTTAATTTTTTTAACTTAATATATAATTTTTTTTATTAACAACCCTTAATTTTTTTAAGTTTAATTTTTGTAATTTTATATTTTTTTAAGTCTATAATTTTTTTCAATTGCATTTACCTAAATTCGAATTTTTTTATTTATTTTTTATGAGTTAGTAGGTTAGAGTTGGTGATAAAATAGATTGACCGGCAAGTTAACTAATTTTTTATTTTTTATTTTTTTTTTGAAAATTTGAGAATCAAACTTGATTTACGTAAACCATATGAACATATAGTACACGTATATACTATATATATGTACATATCATATGTATTTCGTAGCTCTTCTTTCTACAAAAAATTTGTTATGTGATGCGTTTACCGTGGCCATTAAATATAAATATAAATTGCATTTAGTTTTATATATTTGTTTTTAATTTTTTTCCCCTGAGCAACACTTCTCACACTTCGCTGACCTTTGCTTGCTTACAAATTAATAGCCGAAACAATTTAAATAATGCACAATATTATATAAAATTACACTTAAACGATTTCGCCTTGAAGTAACTTCATAAACAAGCAAATTAATATACTTCGGAGGCATAAATACATACATAAATATCTTATATAAGACATTATACAGATGAATGTACTAAGCTTTTATGCAAAAAAATTTTAAGATTGAATGTGTGTATATGTTAATTTTAATAATTCACTCGTGGTGACAAATGGCAAAGTGTAATGTGCAGGGAAATGACAGGTGATTATGTACCATTTGTACATAGTATGATACATATACATATATGATACGCAATGTCAAACGTTTGATTTTATTTGTTCTTTTTTCAAGTACAAAAATTTGGCTAAAATAGAATAATACAAATTGAAGTGTTTTAAGAGGTGCAATTAAAGGGCGCATGCGTATGGAAATTTTTTTTTAAATAATTGAAACAAAATTTTCTATGAATAAACAAATGTACCCTAAATTAGTAAGAAGAAACTAGTAAAAAAAATATACTTTAAAAATAAAAATAAATGAAATATATACAAATTCATTAATTAATTTAAAAAAATTCTAAAATTTATAAAAAAAATTGTATTCTAATTTCTTATAAAAATAAAATGTAGTTTATTACCTTGATAAAAAAATATAAAAAATAAATAAATTAGGATTTATAAAATATTTCAGGCCAATTTTATACATAATTAGGTATGTTTTCTGTATTTTTTTTTTTTTGTAGTTTTTCTTTTTTGTGAATCCAAATGCATAGGTAAAATTAAATCTTCATAGCTTCCATATACAGAATTAAACATTTTTTATGAAATTAAAAATAAATATTAAAATACAAAAAAAAATTATATAAAAAAATGTGTGTCAGCAATTCACAATTTTTACTTTTCTAATGAAATTAAAAAAAAAATTGTTTGATTAAAATTAAAAAAAAAAAATACATTGTAGTTAATGCACGCGCAGTAACCCTCTTCTTTTTTTAAACTGTCTGAAAAAGTTTTTATTAGGACTACCCTCAAACTACAATAAACCAACATTATTTTTGAAATCTCACACACATTTTCATATAAAAAAACATTAATACCGTTAACCTGCCACTATTCACACACTTGTGCCACGTTTTTCACACCATCTTGGCGACACATGTTTCAATCTTCATACTACTGCCTGCTCATATCTCATCTGCGATGTGAAGATCATACTTAACAGACCCTTTTATTGCGACTTTAGCGGCCTCTCGGTTGCTGTTGCTCAGCATGACAAGCATATTGAACCGATTTATGAGAAGTGCAATGGCAGTGCGGGAGCAGAAGCATATGCGGAGCACATATCATACATATGTATAAGATATTTATGTATGTATGTATGTACATATATACTTAAATAGGTATCTGTTTGTCAACAGCGCGGAGGAGTAAACAAAAATCTGGTGCTGCAGGATGTCATCGCTCGGCTGTTGCAGCAGACAAGTGCTGCGTGGTGTGAATAACATGTGCATTTACACAAGCGGTATTGTCATTGAATATTTTTGGATATTTATAAATTTTGAAAATTTTTTGTTGTGTCTGCAAAGATTTGATTGTACATGTGTGCAGCTATGCGTGTAATCTTTCAAGTTTCCGGTGCAGAGCAGTGAGAAAAGAATCATTGACATGTGTTGTTGCACACACACAGTCATCTTCACACAACTTTCTTTGAATTCTATTGGTTTTTAAGAGCATTGCTTTATTACCCGCAACTCCTTTTTTCTTCCAACACTGCAAAGACACAACTCACAAGCCGAGGAATGCATAAATCCAAGTAGTATGTGTTTGTGCGTGTGTGTGAGCGGAAGTTATGCTGTTTACAGTTAGTTGGCATTTATTTTCTTCATTTAATGACTCTGCGAGTTTACTTTACCGCTCGCTTGTTGTTATTGTCATCTTCATTGGCGGCAGTACTTGATTTGTACTTGACATCAATAATAATGAATTGCTTGAAGTCATTCGCATAAAACTACTCAGTGTAGTGCATAGACAACTCACCTTAGGTTTGCAATCTTAAGGCATCAATTAAGCGCGAGAATGCATATTTGGCTTACAGAAAAGTATTAGCGCCCAAAAAAACTAGTGTCAAGTGCCCAACCCACGAGACATTCTAAAATACTTAATCAAGGTGTCGATTTCGCAAGAATACATAGCGATGCTGTCGGCGTCACATAAATTAGCATTCAAATGCACAGACAATGCATGCGAGAAATCGTGCATTCTAGGAAAAATTTGTGCAAGTGACAGAAAGGCTATGCTTTGAGATGACAGTTATTGAATTTTAAAGTTTATTAGAACGGGGTTATGAATTTTATAACTCAAAAAATTTGAGCTAAAAATTAGATTTTCAATTTTTATTTCCGATTTTGTGAATTAAATTTAAAAATTAATTTCTTATTCTAAATGTTTAAAATTAGAAACTGGAAATTTAAGTTTTAACTGCAAAATTATAATAAAACATTAATAAATGATGATGCGAACTCTAGTTAAAAATGGTAGAACACGAAGTATGCAAGCGCGAATAATGCAAATTCAGCAAATTCATGAAATTTTTGAGACATCGATCTAAAATTTTGAGCACAACAATTTCTTCCCAAGGTGCTGCTGATATCCTACCACTATAGCGTATAGCTGCCATACAAACTGAACGATCAAAATCAAGTGCTTGTGAGGAAAACTTTTATTTGACAAAATATTTTTACGAAATTTAGCATAGAATATTTTCCAAGTTTTTGTATGGCATTTTTTTTTTGTAAAGTCTCGTACGTAAATCTTTTATAACTCTCTCTTGCTCTTTACTCTAATTTCCACTAATCTCCAACACAAAATATTACTACAATTAAACTTCATTTTGTCTCTGGTAAAAATTTCCTACAGACCCTCTATGCGCAGATTAGTGTAGGTCGTTCGCACACACGATGCACCGCAAATGCCAAAGTTTATAGACACTCTGGAATGTTAGCATACTGGCCTGCAGCCAGCAGCCACAAACCATCAGGCACCAGCAACAGCAACAGCAACAACAACAACACTACCAAAAGCACTAACAACACCAGCACAACGAATGGTTGAACGCCAAACGCTAAAATGCTAAACTACAAACGTCAGTTAGCAGCCACAGTTATATGCGGCAACATGCGGCTCCAACTATGAATATACTGCTTGTGGCGTCAGTTAGTTAGTGGCGACTCACTAGTGCATACATACATACATATATAATATATACTAACATAAATGCATATATGCAAGCACATGAATTATGTAATGTTGCACGTTGCACTACGCCAACCTGCTGACTACCAATTGATATTGTTGTTATTGTTGATGTTTTATCGTTTCAAGTCAGCGCGCTTGGGAAACAAGTTTGCCCCGCATGGCAAATTCTTAAGCGGCGGCCAACAAAAGTCAAACAACATTCAAATGCCGAATGCCGACAATAGGTGCGAGTAACACAATAACAAGAGCAACAACAACAATGCGTTTACAAAGAGAAAAGCTGTTCAACAGCAATATACCATGAACAGCTGTAGGCAACAAAAACAAAAATAAATAAATAAATAAAATGGAAAACTGTGCGAAAAACTACAACACACAGAGATTCTTTTGTGCATTACAAATGGCTGTTTGTTGTTGGTAGTCGTACATCCTTGCAAAGGCAAACAAGTTCCACTTTTTCTTTTGCCTCCGCTGCTTGTGTGCAACTTTGATTTGCGCATTCCAATGTGCGTTTTCTTTTCAATTATTTACAAACTGGAAGTTGGTATTGAAAACTAAAATTTTAATGAAAATATAATTCTCAAGAGATTTATGAATATCTGCTTGACAATTACTATTTAGATATACCTATAGGGAATTTTATTTTTAAGTGTCTAAAAGTAGTGAATATTCACATTTTTCCTATAGAAATCTTATAATCATAATCCTATAGACTGGTCCGATCTTTGCTCAGATCCTTCTAAGAGGCCCTTAAAATTCTGATTTTTACAGTTTAAGCCTTGCTATGCTTTAAAATGTAATCTCATCTGTGATATACCTGATGAACATCTTTTCCTAAACCGATTATTATTAAGTTTTAGAAACATCTAATGTGCAAGAAAATCTTAAGAGGCGGGTTTTGAGGTTATGATATGAAAATTAGATATTGTCAAGCATTATGGTCTCTATTGAACTATAACATATCAGTAACAAATGCAACAATCAAACATCAAATTTCTGTGTCCACAATTTTCCTCTATCATGCCTGTTTCGCGCACATATAACGGTTCTTATTGAGAAAAATCTTTAATATCTCATCATCTTACAGATTAAAAGCAGTAATTATGACATAAAAACAATACAATTTTCAAAAAATCGTAATATTAATATTACGGTTATTCAGATTAAATAACGGCTTTTTATTGGGTAAAATCTTCTTATGTCTCAAAAAGCGCTAACCAATCAAAACCATTGATATTTGAAATAAAATTAGTTAAACCCCTACTTTTCAAAGCTTTATAAGCTTCTTTTCACCAAAAGCATAGTTATAAATTTCGAAAAATATGCAAAAAATAATTTTTGAAAACATTTTTCAATCAAAAAAAAACAAAAGAATAAAATACAATTATTCAGAGCAGAAAAAATGCTTATCTTTTCATTATATGGAAAATAACGAAACATTTTTGGAAAACATTTGTATTATCTGTAACCAAAATTTCTTCAACCAATTTTCTTCCTAACAATTTTGAATATTATTAAATTGTTAATTTTAAAGAAAAATAGAAATAAATAATTTAAAAAAATGGTTTAAGCAAAATTATAAAAACGTGGAGCTTTAAATAATCGTAATAAAAAGGATTGTGTTATTTTCAAAATTTAAAAACAGCTTTTTTTAAAACAGTTTAAAATAAGAATATAGAAAATAATCAAAAGGTCAACTATTATCCATCAAACAAACACAATAAAAATAAATAAATTAATAAAACATAATGAAAGAAGTAAAATAAAAGATTTGCATATGTACATACCAGATATACATACATACATTGTATAGTTTAGAATCTAAACGGTAAACGGTATGTGTAAACCCAACCAAAATGCTAATATCACAGACATCATATTTACAATACAGCACCGCATAGCACGCTGCAGACTGACAGGCCAACAGTCAATTCAAAAAGAAAAGCAAAAAACTGCAGATGCCTAGTAAATAGATTTACCATTACTGGGAAAAAAACAAAAACTGATGTTTGGAGAAAAATGCAGACTTGGAAGCTACCCTAGCAAACCAATCAACCAAAACCTACAAAAAAAAAGGTAAAAATATTTATAAAAGAGTAGCTGCGGTGTCCACGCACGAGGCACTAGGCCATTAACTTCAGCTGATTATATGCTGCTGCCAACGCTGCTGCTGCTACTGCAGTGAATGAACTGTAAAAGAATGCATTTTGTATGCATAGCTTGTATGCGTATTGTTGTTGTTATAACAACAAAGTATGAGGGAAAAAGCAAAAGAAAACCAGCAACTATGTGTACTTATATATTTAAGTATACACAGTTACATATGTGTGTGTGTGTATTTGGAAAATAACTGCAAAAGGGCAGCTGCAACCAACGCACCTTCGAAGAATTTTCAATTACATTGTTTGCAGCTTGCTATGTTACATGCTTTATTTCCTATACATGGATTTTGTAGTCATCATTTTTTTTTCTTTATTCATTTTTTGTATCTATATACATATATACATATGTATATACTGTATCTGTAGTTACATGTGCGTTGCATTGCCTGTCGATCGCCTCGTACTTAGTAGACGAAAGTGTTGTTGGCGAAACGCATCAAACAATGTTTTAGAACACGCACTCTTGTCATTTCCGTTTCACAATTACATAAGTATGTGCAAATACAACAAACCAACCGTTGCACTTCCTCGATTCAACTGTCTAACCTGCATTAATTATATTTTATTATTTTCGTTGCCACATGCACCCGGTTACCTGACGTTAAGGCATTCCGAGCGCCCACTCGTCATGTTACTCGTGTCATTTGCCTTTTTCTTTTCTCTCAAAGCCACTAATTTATTAACTTTTGTCTAGGTGCCTTTATGTGGTAGTTAGTCGTGTCTACTTTGCTAAGTATTATTGGTCAATTTGTCTGCCTACTTTGGTGTGTAATATCTGAGACAAGTTCTAATACATCAACGTACATATACTGGGGTCGCTGCAATGAGTTGAAAACTAATGCTGGCGCCACTAATGGCCTGCTCGTATATAAAAATTATTTTTTAGTATACAGAAAATTAAGAAATTACTTTATGCATAAATGTCATCGGTTTCCTCAAAATAAATTAGAAAAATTTGAGGTAGGCAATCCCTTATCCACCTAGTATAAACAAATACTAGGCGTCTTCGATTCGCCACTCTGCTCTCTGCTCGCTGTTCTCTTGTCAAAAATTAACATGTGAAAGCAAACAAAGCAGTTAACCAATAAAATTATACATAAGCGTAAACGTTATAACGTAACATAATCTTTATTTTCCTGATCTGTATCTTTATAACTGAAAAATTATACAACAAATTTACGCCTCAAAATTAATAAAAAATTTATTCTGACTATTAAACACCTGACCCAGTAAATTTATTAGTACTAGTATTAGTAAATCAAACCCAAAAACCCACCCAAAACGAACAGCTGATCGCCAAGAAAAAAAAATAGTATGAATGCAACAAATATACTTGTATTATACATACCATATGTACAAAAGCTGATGAAGCAGAAAAATATTCACACAAGCAAAAACGAAATCAGAGATATACAACAAAATCCCTTAAAGACAACATATCAAAAATTAAAAATAAAAAAATATGATTTAAGCAATAAAATGAGAAGAGCAGTAAAACAAAAATACACAGAAGTGAATTAAAATTTAGCAGAAGTATCATGTAAAGCAAAATATAAATAGCGGCATAAACAAGTTTCGAGCAAATGCAGAGCAAACAAAAAAATACGGAAAACAGCCAAAAACCAAAATTCATCAATGCAGTTGTGGGCAGTAAAGTAAAGCAAAAGCAGAAACTGGTACAAACGATGCAAAGGCAACGCAAAGCAGCAACAAAATTGTAGCAGTTGAGACATTCAACCACTAGTTGGTAGCAGAAGCAGCTGATTCGCAACTGCACAATGTGCAGCGCCAAAGAGCAGGTAACCAGCAACCAGCTGAAATAAGCAGGAGAATATGCGCGATTGCGATTTGTTGAAGTCGAAATTAAATTGAAGCAAGCGCCAGCTATAGCTGCTTGTGTGTACTTCAATAAAAAGAAAATAACATTAAATGAAGCTAAAATCCGAAAACAAATGAGCATACACATATACATATGCAATCAAAAAGCGCTGAGTGAGCCAGCAGTTTATTGTGCTCAGTAGCAGTGGCAGAGTTCGCCGACAGCGAAAAAGCTGTAATGGCAAGTGCGCCACTGTTTACAAAGTTTTTATTACTATGTTTTTTCTATTTTTATTATTATTGCAAAATCCGTGTGCTAGTAAATACCTTTTTCGATTGATATCGATTGCGAATAGCAGCATTTGCACATTTTATACTACGATAGATTTTTTATTTATTTTAAAACTAGCCAATCTACCACTGCACACATTTTTCTCACACCCCAGCTGCTACAACAACATGCATTTACGCCAGTGCCTCACCTTTGTTACAATCTTACAATGTAGATTTATTTTTTTTCAATTTCGACTTTTCATTTTCATAGTTAAATGCAGTGCTGTAGCACGTCGAAACATGTTTACTGCATGCTGTGAGAGCATTGAGCGAATAATAAACAGCAATGTGTTGTTGCGAAAAACTACTTCTCAGTTATACAGACAGTGAATACAGCAGCTGCTGCTGTGACTGTGCTCACCTGCTTATTAACAATAACAACAGCAAAAGTATGGAAGTGTAATGCAAGTAAATGAAATTGTCAAACAGGTTAAATGTAAACTGCCGACTGCACAATAACAGAACAGTGGCAGAATTCATAATAACAGTATCAGAAAATGTTAATGGGAACATTTAACTTGTAATGGACAGCTGCATGTCGTCGTCGTACTTCCTTTTTCTTGTCGTTTGTGGTGCTCAATCGCAATTATGCTGACGGTGCAGAATTGAACGTATGAGAAAAATCTAAAAACAGGTAGTGCGCTGTAGTGATCTGGTGTTTTTTCTTCTTTAATGTAGCGGTAAAATATTGTGTACTGATTGGAAGCAAAAAAGTTTTGCTAAATGAGAGTTTCACCATCTATTGAAATATGCGAATTTGTAGTATTGGGTTAGAATTGTTTTTAGCATTATGTAAAATATTATCTATATAATCGCAAAAAATAAATAATTATGTATATAAATTAATAAAAAATATTTTAAAAAGGTTAAAGTATAGTTATACTAAATAGACATTTATTATTAAATATTTGGAATTTTTCATGTACAAATATTGTGTAAACATTATTTTTGCTGTTTTTTTATTTTTCTTGTTATATGCAATTCTGCAGTTTTTTTCTGGCGCCTCGTCTTAACCGCATATAAAATTTTTAGCTTTTGGTCTCCCAAGGCTAACTACCAGCTACGCAAAAACAATTGCTTACTGACATACTTTCAGCTTGTAAAGCATAATTGCACTGGTAGAAAAAGCGTTAAAAATACATGCCACAATGTGGCAGGTTAGTGTTGGCAATAAGCACTAAAAAACACAAAATGTGCAAACAAAGTTATGAAAAACTTAACAAAAACTAACGATTTCAATGACGTGTTGTTTTGTTTTTTTAATAAAAAATTGCATATATCCAAAATGAAAAATAAAATCATAAAGGCCAACAATTAGCTTAAAGTGCGAATTTGTTTAAAGTCCGTGAAGCTTTCAAGTCATATGTTCAAAGTAACATTTTTTTATATAAAAAAATGCGTAAACATTAAAATAATTTTCTTTATGCATAAGGTTTGACTGAGCAAGGTGCACGTATAATATATAATATATATATTATCGATTTTTCAAACATAAAGAGTAACCAATCGAACAAACAACTGGCATAAATCAAATATACCGTTTAAATGAGATATCGACAGGCTCTCTTATACTCAATTAAACTGAACAAATTGTTGTTGCTTTCACGTGCAAATTATTTGACAACAGAAAGAGAAGTAATGAATCGAAAACGGTTAATTTTTAAATGTATAAAAGTTATCACAGAAGTAAATGTCTGAAAACTAACAAACAAATTTAACAGGCTTAATAAATATTGGCGTTGTCTATCATAAATGAATATAATTTTGGGTTAGAAAGCGCATAACTCGGTTTAAAGTCGTAAACTAAACAGTTCTGAATTTCTATTCGCCAGCTAATCTTTTTTAAAACCATTACTAACTAGTTGGCATCTGTCACTTCCGCCGGAAACCGTAATCTACTAAATTAGCACAATTTAAAGTTATTAGAATTTCAATACCAAATCAAAATACATACATACATATGAATATTAGTATGAAGCTGCAAGGCATTTGCCACAACAATTTACCTGTTTATTTGTCTAACGCCCGCTTAACTTAAACAACGCCACACTGGCGATACGAATAGTTGAAGCAAAACATTTTAACGAGATTTCATGGAAATTCGAGTGTGGGAAGCTTTTCGACAAAGCAAACAAAATAAGTTACAATTCAGCAACAACAACAGCGAAACATTTTTTTTAAAGCTTAGTTAAATTAAATTACCACTAAGCGATCAACGCTGTGCGCCAAGTTAGAACGCCTGCGGTGGCAATTAACATGGCTTTAACAAAAAAAAACTTAAGAAATTGTGAAACAAAACAAAAACAGCGATAAGTGAAAAATGGGAATTATACTAAAAGGAAATGTATACACGTATGCATGTAAGTTTTTTTTATACTAAAAATGAAAGCTACCCAAAGATTAGCTCGCTTCATAGCTCATGCCAGCACTAGCTGTAAACTAGTACATAGAAATCAACTTGTTAACTAGCGAACAAATTTGAGCAAAGAAATATGCGCCAATGCCTGAATAAGTGTGCTCAATAATTATCTTTCATGGTTTGAATTTGTTAAATCAACAATACCGCCCAGCCAAAAGAGCGCAGCAGTGTTGAAATGACACATAACGCACGCGCTATTAACCACACCGGTGGCTGTGTATAATATTAGTGGTGTTTCTGCTCGTTGTGCTGCCACACGAACAGAAACCCGCCTTATATACGCCCCTCGAGTGAAAAAAAGTTTAATATATTATTTTTGGTGTATTTTTCTAGTAAATAACAGAAGAGGAGCTTGAAGTAGATAGCAAAAAGAAATGCGAATGATTATAGAGAGGATGCAAGTATGATTAGGCAAAAAAAATTTAGAAACTTAAATTTTGTGTGAAAAATGCGTGATATTTGAGTGTGTTGAACCAAAATTAGCTCAATTCATACATCTTATCATTAGCAAGGCTAAATGTATTGAAGGAAGGAATCTTTTCAATATCAACAAAAAGCTAGCTTATATGGACCCAGAAAGACAAGGATGCACTTAATTTTCAATATGGCTTTTAAACTCAAGGAATATGTGTGTTTACATTTAATTAGGGTATATTTGAATTTTTTATATATTTTTGTTTGCATCAGTTGATCAAACTATGATTTGTAAGACTTTCACAGCTTCGGCTTCCGAAATTTTCCAACGAATATTCCTACAATAAGTATTCTTAATAATATTACTAATTCCAAGTGGCTCATAAAATTGAAAAATTAATTATATAATCAATCCCCATAAAAATACTTGACCCAATTTGACAAACTATAACGCATATGGTTCACCACCAATCTACTATCAAGATCACAAAAATCTTTAATTATTAATAACAAGCTGGTACTTAAATAATCTAATACAATAATATATAGAAACGGGTTAGGAAAATAAACAAATAAAATTATCAAAAAAAAAAACAAAAAAAAACGTTAACTTCGGTTGCACGGCAGCTATAATACCCTTCACAAATACAAAAGATTTCTTACAATAACTTTGATCGTTCAATTTGTATGGCAGCTATATGCTACAGTGGTCCGATATCGGCGATTTTGATAAGCCACCAGTTTTTCGAGAAAAAAAAGACGTGTACAAAGTTTCAGATAAATATCTCTAAAACTGAGGGACACTATTTAGACAGACAGACAGACAGACGAACATGGCTAAATGAACTAATGAACTCAGCTCGTCACGTTGATCATTTATACAATACATATACTGGGGTCTCTGGCGTTTCTTTTTGTGTGTTACAAACATCGCGGTAAACCTAATATACCCTCTATTCAGGGTATAAATATCAAATATAATAGTGAAGTTTCTAAATTAGTTTCAAAAATAATATTTATGAAATTTTATGTAATCTCAAGCGAAAATAACAGCATGTCACCCTAAAAAATACCTCATAAAATTTCACTACTAACTTCCAATTAAGCCCTTTTCTATTTAAAATTACTCCTGTTGGCTTGCCTCCTACCTTGTTTTTGGTTTTATTAAGCATTTTATTGCCACTCCGGACTCAAGTGCACATTTTTCACATTAATTGATGGCAAGCGCATTTATGGCTTCAAATGACAACAACGAATATGATTACATACTCACATATGCTTCTAAAAACAAGAAAGCGCTTAACCCATTAAAGTTGAAAAAAGTATAAAAAAAAAATAATTTCATTGGAAATTTTAAGTTTCCAGCACACAAAGCTAGCGCTTGAAACATATTTAGCTAAGAATGCTAAAAATTACCCACTCAAAGAATTGAGACAATAACTGAAGAGGCAGCGCGTCAAGTCAATCAGCTTTGCATGGGTCTCCGGGGCATAATTTGAGACGCTGCTGATATATGCGACTAATCAAACGCGACCACAAAAACGCATTCTCAAGAGCATAAAAGGCATTGATCTTGTAATCGTTGTTGTTGTTGTTGCTTTTGTAGCTGAAAGCAATAAAATCGAGTGGCTGTCATGCTATTAAAAGGGTGCAACATTTTAAGTGCCACTTCGTGAAGCGATCGAGAGCAAATTTAGTAGGTGAAGCCGTAGGAGATATGATATGTAAGAAATATACTTTTGATACACTTATAAGCGAATTATGTGGTTGTTGCAACACAAGAGCACATTTCAACTAAATTTAGGCGCATATGCCTATAACACATGTTTGTTGTTGTATGGCAACCTCTGGCATTTGTGCTTTGATTTCAAATATATTTGCTTATTTATTCTGACATTCTGAATTTATTTCTTGTTTTTGTTTTTTTAAATCTAAAGTCAATGGAGCTTCATTGTTTCGATTTCCGCTGTGAGTTATGTACCCCCCTCAAAAAAGTACAATATAATAAACTTTGATCAAACAAATTAACATAAATTGAAATTCCTGCAAGCGCACTATTTATGTATGTGTGTATTTATTTGTCTGATCGTGTGCTTTTGAAGATAACACTAATAAAGTATGCAAACAAATTTGTCGCTTGTATAAATAATTGATGGGCTTTTTGTTAGCTTGACATGTGGTTGCTTTCCCCTCGATTTATTTTTTCGTCTAAAAATGTTTTTTCTAAAATTTTCAACGGAAGTGCAGAAAAAGAGTACAACAAAGACAAGCACACGTGTTCAAGATACATTATCCGGTGGCTTTGATTTATGTTTTTGTAAATTAAAAGTCAAATAAAATATTTGTTTGGTTAGAAATGTCAATATGTGGAAAATGCAGCTGCCCTGCGTCAAGCAATATGAGTTGAAAGTATTATTAGGATATTATGAAATGCCACAGCAACCTTATTTGTTGCTAGAATAAGTATTTTAGGTATATTACAAAAATAACATAGGCATCGAAAAATACATTTTTTTACGAAAATCTCGAAAAATCTGAGAGTCATACTATTCAAAACAATGATACGCCATATTCCATTATGGTGTGAAACTTGGCTAAATGTGTCAAGGCTGCAAGTGAGAAACTGTAAAGATTATTATATTTCCCCACCTCTCCTGCCTTCCTTGGCGACAGGAAGTGCATATCTCTACCAAGTGAAAATATAAAACAACCATTGACATTAATCCCGCCAATGCAACAAGTTTGCAACAACAATAAAAATGTTGCAGCGTTGCAAATGGGTGCTATTACAAAAAAAAAAAACAATTACTTATACAACTTCTTACTTTATTTGCGCGCTTCTCATCATTAATTTCACTTATACTCTCTTTCCTGGCAAATGTGTTAATTAAAGACGCAATACAAGATTTTAGAGCAAGCCAGAATACTTCGAGGAAATAAGTTTGTTTGAATTATTTTTTTATAAGCATATGAATATTTGTTTCTACGTTTGTCATGTGGCGGCACAATTTATCAAAACACTGCTTTGTGTCCGCCTGCTTGCCAATGCCACTACTAGCTTTAGCTACTGTTTTTTGTCAGCAGTAACTACTTTGAGCTCCTCCTCTAAGCTTAAGCTGAGCGGCGACCAAAGATAAGGTCAATTAAAAAAGGCAACCGGAAATGTTTGTCACTCGCTGGCGACAAAGACGACAAGCGCTCACGACAAATGCGTGTGACAACAAAAGCAACAACAATCATTGCAGATGTGCTGTGAAAGGGCAAATTAATTATTGCTGCTAGTTGACCCTTTTAACATGTAAGAGTTAAGATTTCGTTTTCTTAGTATTTGTTGTTATAGTTGTAGGGATTTAAGAATATTACATTAAATTTTGCAATTATTGGTCGAGAAAATATATAACTAACACTTAGAAACTTCAAAAAGATTTTAATCACTTTAATTTAAAGCAGAAATATCATATCTTCACTTATGCACTTATGTTGAATATTAACGATTTCGTCCTACCCCACAATTTTTTTATCATATTTACATATGTATGTATATGTTTCTATTCTCTCTCCTATCAATTCATGCCGACAGCATAAAAATTGCAACGCATTTCTTATTATCAGCGAAAAAAAGTCACAAATGCATCGCATTCAGCGAACACCCGCATTTTTTGCGCATTTACTCCTTTAACAGCTGGCCGACCAACCGGACCGGCTGCCCGACCATGCTTTATGATAGCGAATTCTCTTGATTCGCGTGCTCATTACGGCCCTTTTGTAGTTTTTGCGCATTTATTTGAGTTTTTTTCTCTTAGTTTTTGCTTTGTTTCCAATTTAAACTTCATATCTTTCATTTCATATAATCAACCGGATGTGGTGGTTGCACTGACTTACATTGTGCACCACAACTCCCCATTTGCATTGCCCTGCAGCATACAACAATATTACATAGTGCTGTATGAGCACCAACCGGTATCTCATATACATATGTACGAGTATATATGTAAGTGTACAGTGCACTCTTCCCCTTGCGAAATGGCACTTACACAAAAGCATGAGCTTGCAATTTACTTTGATTATATTTCATTTGTTATTTTTGTATGTTTTCTTTTTTTTACTTTTTGTTGTTGCATTATGCATATTACTCATTGTGGCTAGCTGCTTGCATATTCATTAATAAATTTAACTGAAATGTTACAGCAACTTACAATTATGTTGACCATCTCTGTTATTATACAACAGCGGCCCTCTCTGTAGCTGATTAGTGGCTGTTGTTGTGAGTGGCTTGTTTACCAATTGCCGGCATTTCATTTACAACGGCAAGTATGCAATTTACATACAGGAATATGTAATGAATTATACAGAAATGTAAAGACATAAGGAGAGTCCTATACAGGTCGAAAGGTTAAAGAAAATGGAAATAAAATTTGAAATAATTAAGTATAAATGAATGGTAGTAAAATAAAATAAACAAAGAAAGAAATTAAAATAAATTAAAATAGGAAAAAAGTTACAAAAAAAATTAAATCAAAATAAACAATAAAATAAAGAAAAATATAACAAACTTTTATGAAATAAATGATATACAAAAATAGTTTTTAAAATATACTATCAACTTTTATTTTAAATAAAATAAAATGCAACAGATGGGAATTTAAAAAGATTAAATACAAACAACATTCTATGTTAGAGTTAGCGAAAATATCCCGTCAAATAAAAAAGTTTTCCATACAAAAGCTTGGCTGTGATCGTTCTGTTTGTATGGCAGCTATATGCTCGTCACGCTGATCATTTATATACAAAAATATTCTATCTTCAGACGTTTTCTTTTGGATGTTGGAAAAACTTCGTGGCAAACTAAAAAAATCTTGCTGAAGGTATACCATAAATGTATATATACATACATACATATATATCAACGACTTCATTTTTAGTACTGTTTTCACACATTTGAACAATGTTTTGATAAAAAATTAAAGAAGTAATCCTAAGTCAAAGTATATTTAGGAAACATGCTGAGAAAATCAACAAAAAATTTCAAATCTCAAAACAAATTTCAGAAAATCCTTGAAAATAATTTTCACACCAAATCAACTATTAAGAAAACATATTTGAATAGATTTCCAACATAACGAAAAGTAGCAATTTGGCAGCGCCTTAAAACTGTGTGAAGAAGACAAACAAAAAATATGATTTCAACGCCTATTTAAAAAGATAGGAGGAGTTTATCAAACGTTTATTTATTTTTACTTTTTCTTAAATAGCTATCTTTTTCCATCAATTTAGATATTAGAACGAATAGAATTGTTGTTGTGTGTATTGAAAAGTGAATTTTCCAATATTCATTTGAACAGCCAAGCCGATAAGAAGGTTCGGTGCCTGCCTGCTGCGGACAGTCAGACCTTTCCGAAATTATCAGCATTTGTCATCAATAGAACAAACAAATATGTGTGTTTGACTGTCCAACAGGTCGCCAGCCTAACTACATATGTAGAACGAATGTCAGTTAGTGACGCGCCTAAATCAACAGCGCCGAGTATAAATGTCAAAGCATAAAGTAAATTTATGACAGTCTTTAAACGCAACTGCAAAGTGTAGTAATAAAGCATACTATAAATAATACTCAAAATAATATATAGATGAAGTGTTTTAGAAATATTTTCGGCAAAAAAGGCGAATACCAGGTTGGAGTAATGTGAACATATACAAAAAAAAAATATCTTTAAAAATATGTATTACTTAAAAATAAAATAATTAAAAATATTTTTTTTTAAGTAGGTAAAAGAGAAATATATATTTTTTAAAAGTAAAATTAATAGTCTTACACATTTTTATCACATCCAACTAATTCTCACATTTATTTTTTTCTTCATACAGATTTACCCCGGACCCGACCCCAAACAAGCCATCATGGGCTCACTCGTCTTCTGTATACATCACAAGCAGGGCTGTAAATGGTCGGATGAGCTTAGAAAACTAAAGGTGTGTATAAAGACAAGTCTACCAACTTACTTATAAAATATGCTATGTAAGCACACACGCACGCAATTATGTATAGCATACTAAAATTCATTTCTCAGTATACAAAAAATTAAAAATTAATTATTTCCAAGTCACCTCAACTAACAAGTTCATAACTACGGCCAAAATAGACAAACACACACAGCTAAAGCAGCTATAATTTCATTCATTAAGCCAACACTTTTTATAAACGTATTTTGAACGCATCTTACATACATACATACAAACATACTACCTGTAGAACAATAAAGAAAGAATTTTGTTACTCTTTCGTTGTTGTTGTTGTTAATATACCTCTAATGCGCTCATAAAAAACTAGTAGTCACTTTTATGTTTCTAATTTTCATGTTCATTCATAAAAAGCAGTAACTGGAATTCTAGTGAATTAATAAATACTGGATAGTGAAAGAAACGAAGGTCAGTTGGGGTGATGTGGTGAAAAAGGAAAAGTTAGACATATATACTTGTATATACACATATATGTATATAGGGATAATTTTAGTTAAATTATGTTTTAAAAAATATTTTAGATGGATTTTGGGATTAAAACTTTTTTTTTGTTTTTTAATTCGGTATGTGGGATTAAATCTTTTTTTTTTTAATCCAGTATGCGGAATCCCAAATACGGGTTAAAAAATAAACAAACATTTTTTAACTCAAATGTTAATTCAATTATTTTTTTAATACATTATTTGCAACTTTGAACTCAAGTCATAATAGCTTAAGTAAAACAACAAAATTTCTAACCTAAAAAAATAAAATTTAAAAATTTGTTTTATAAATTAATTATTTTCATTATTGTTTTTATAAATACAGCGCACAAAATAAAATTTACATCAAGAACAACACATTTTCTAACCTAAAAAATACTAAATATAATTTAGTATTAAGTAAAATTTCATCACTTCACATAATTTTTTAACTTCCTTTATGATATACCTATATACTCTCACTACAATCCCACAACACTAAACTCACTTTATACGCTCTCAATCTTCCAGGGTCACCTGAACGTCTGCAAACACGATGCCACACAGTGTCCAAACAAGTGCGGCGCACAAATACCGCGCATCATGATGACCGATCATCTACAGTTCACCTGCAACATGCGACGCACCAAATGTGAATTCTGTCAGAGCGAATTTTCTGGCGCCGGGCTTGAGGAACACGCGGGCACCTGCGGCCAGGAGCCCATCTACTGCGAGGCCAAGTGCGGACAGCGTGTACTACGCGGACGCATGACACTGCACAAGTCCAAGGATTGTACCAAACGTTTGCGTCGCTGTGTACATTGTACGCGTGAATTCTCATGCGACACACTGCCGCTGCATGCGGCACAATGCCCACGCGCCCCAATGACCTGTCCGCAACGCTGCGACACCGGTGCTATTGCACGCGGTGACATGGAGGCGCACCTGCGCGATGAATGTAAAGCACTAGCGATCGCTTGCAGTTTCAAGGAGGCCGGTTGTCGTTTCAAGGGACCACGGCATATGCTCGAAGCGCATTTGGAAGCAAATGCCGCGGCACATTTGTCATTAATGGTGGCGCTATCATCGCGTCAAGGCCAGCAAATACAATTGCTGAAAACTGCCGTCTCGAAGTTGTCCATTAATTATACCGGCACTTTATTGTGGAAGATCACCGATTGGTCGTCAAAAATGACGGAGGCGCGCAGTAAAGACGGGCTAGAATTGGTATCGCCACCATTCTACACATCACAATACGGTTACAAATTGCAGGCTTCAATGTTTCTCAATGGCAATGGGCCCGGTGAAAATACACATGTTTCCGTGTACATAAAAGTGCTGCCGGGCGAATATGATGCATTGCTGAAGTGGCCATTCTCGCACTCGATCACATTCACACTCTTCGAACAGGGCGCGCAAACAGGACAGGGCGGTGTAGCCGAGTCATTTGTGCCGGATCCCACATGGGAGAACTTCCAGCGGCCATCGAATGAACCAGATCAATTGGGTTTCGGATTTCCACGTTTCATTTCGCATGAAATGCTACACAGACGACCCTTCATCAAGGATGATACGGTATTTCTACGTGTTAAGGTGGACCCCAGTAAAATTGTGTCGGTCTAAAGTCCCTGAAACTGGCAGGTGTGGCTTTGTTGCAAACACTATCGCTTTTTTATGTGTGTTTTTAATTAAAATTCAAATGAATACTGTGTATTTAATATAGCAGGTAGTTATGTAAGTGAGTGTAAAAGACAAGCAATAATGCCGTCTCGAGTGGTAAACGCAAAATTATTCCAAAACACATGAAAACAAATTGACAGTCACTGCAGCTTCGCGTGCGTAGACCAAGTAGCTACACTACGTGCAAGCAAAAGCAACAACAATGACAAAATGCAAAAGCTAATTAATGAAAATAATAAAAGTGAAAGGAAAAATCTTACGGTGCGGTGAAGATTTTAATTTCTTAAAGTGGACAAGCACAAGTCAGTTTTTTTGTAATAATTAAAAAAATATTTAAGTAATTTTAAAACATTGCGAAAAACGCGCAGTTTTCAAAAACAACGAAATCAGACCAAAGTTAATGCAAACGAAAAAAGGAGCAAGAAAAAATTAATATTAATTAGCATTGTAAGCAATAAATAAACCATAATGTATACCTGTTTAGTATAAGCGAAATGCGACACATTAACACTCAGAAAAGTTCGTGTCTTAAGTCTTTTGTTATAAGAAAAAAAATGTATTCGATTGGTGAAAATAATTGATTTTAAAGCAAACACTTTCAAAAGATCTTCATTTGTTTAAATACAAACATTTTTAGGTTAGCTTTATTTTGAGTTCATTATAATTTTTTTTTTTTGTTGGATTCTCAATTTTTATTTTTGTGGTGCAACTCCTAAGCGGAGCCACTTGTGTATATAAACGTTAGTAGAGAATTAACTACTCCGCGAAAGTCAATATTATGACCAGAAATACATTTTAGCACATAAATCATTCATTTTTTTAATAAAGTGTTGGATATGACAACAATAGCAAATGTATACATTTGCACAAACAGCATTAGTCATTAGTTTATAAGTACAGTTGTGTCTGAGTAGTTTGTAAGCATACATTTATACCTACACACATATATAAACACATATATACAAATACAATAAATGCTTATGTATTTCTTTCATTTCTACTATGTAATAATAATGTATAATGGAAAAACTTTTATAATTACTTTTGAAAATATCATAAAAAGCATTATTTAAAAATTAAACGCTCTGTAAGGCCAAAAACTTAGACAAATAATTGTTTGTTTCATTTTATTGGTGAAATTCGAATGATAAAAAAAAGGATAAAGTATACCAGTCACTTTCGAAAGTCTCGAGGAGGGTGAGAAGGTTTCAGTTAATATATTTTCACATATATTTTTATTGTTATTGTTGTTGTTAACAACGCAAAAAAATTAAGGATTAATCACGTGGTCGTTAAAATAGTAAAGAACTTAATATTTTTATTTAAAAAGCCTTCGAAATTGATAATTTCCAGCTATGTTAGTAGGGGAAAGAAAATTAAGGATTAATTACGGAAACGTCACATAACTGGCTGTCATCAGTTGTACTTAAGTATTCAAAATAATATATTAATAATTCTCGGAATGCAGAAATTATGAAGAAAGCAAATCCTTTTTTACAAAAGTTACCGCAACAAAAATTTACTTAGCGCTACCTAATTTACGTAAAGTTACACTTTTACAGTCACTCAAAGAACTATTTTTAATACATGGTTTTTCATGTCAAAAATTATTGCTTTCGAGTTTTATGACCCAGTCATAGCAGTTCAAAATAAACCATTTAAAAATCTGCATAGAAACCCATCGAGACTAAGCAGATAATTTTCTAATAAATCTACCTGAATATGAACTACATATTTCTAGAAATTTTTTTTTCCGAATCGCCCTGTTCTAAGAGTTTATATTTAAATACGTTTGTATATTCTGCTCTATGTTGTCTCGGATATGTATACAAATTATGAAAATTACTAAAAAAAACAGTCAACAAAATCTTTTGAAAACCTTTTGTAGAAAGTTTTACATTATTTTTAAATTTCATTACGAAAGGAACAAAAATTTCTAAATCAGCTGAAAACCACAACGGTCAAATGTTCCAGTTGGAACAAATGGGAAAATAACGAAACAAATGAATGTAGAGAGGAAGCGAAATGGAAGGAAATGAAAAATATATTTAGGCAGCTAAGCGGAAGCAAAAAATTTATGTTCACACATACGTAAGTACATATGTATTTATATTCATCCCTACCCTTCTAAAAGTACCACCCAGATACATATTTAAAAATATCTTATTTAATTATTGGAAGGCAAAAAAATTATAATAAATTAATAGAAAGTACATATTAGATATTATTAATACTTTTAAAAATTCAAAAAAAAAAGTCACCTTTATTAAAGTGATTTAATCGTTGTCACCCTGTCATAATGGCATTTTAAAACTTTGATTCTTTGGTATATGCAAATATATTCATAAACAACTTATTTCTTAAATTTATAAATTAAATTTTACCATCAACACACACTTTGCGTTGCAGGTTACATATTTAATAAATCAAGACATAAATATAACACATACATATTTGTACATACATATGTATATAAACAAATAGGTGAAAGTTATCAGCTTCAACACGCTTTTCAGGCAATGCTTTTCATATGTGTACTTGCAATAACATTTTCTAATAAAATTACTTTCACTGCAAAAAAGCTTAAATTAGCTTAAATTAAATACTTTCTAAAAACTTTTATTTAAATAACTTGTGCATGCATTTATCTTTTTACGCCAACATTATACTAAATAAACCAACTGAAGAAAACCTACGAACGAACTATCAACTGGCCCAATAGGAACAAAGTAGAAAAAAACGAAAGGATAGAAATGAGGGGAAATGAAAAATGTAGAAACGGACTAACGGAAACGAAAATTGGATGCTTACACATGTATATACATACACATGTACATACATACACACATTAATTTCTACAAATGTTCAAATATGTGTACGCATATAGTATTTATTAAAAATCAACACATTACATACACACATAAATTTTAAGTAAGAAAACATTTTTTTATAACCTGTTTTTTAAAAATATTTTAAATTAAATTAATTTTTCTCGTTAACTTTTTTGGTATACTTCTTTAATACTTTGATGATAACTACTAATAAAATGAGTAAATAACGTTTTTTTTTTTAATATACTTAATAATCTTTATTATTTATGATAATTTAATATCGAAAGTATTTTAATTTATTCTAATAAGTAAAAGCAACGTACCTTTTAATATGCGATTTATCGGTGTCACCTTGTTATAGCGGTTATATGCCGCAAAACTTTCATGCACACACATGTATGCAAGCGTGAATAGCGAAAATCGCAAATTGCAGAAATATACCACTTTCCTGCACATATTTTACTTACTAACACAAACTTTATATATTTAAATTAGCACATTTCTCCACCGCCGGGTGACCACATTTGCCAAACCGAGGCCTCTGAACCATTAGCACAATATATTCCACTACACTTCACTTTCGCTGCGCAAAGAACATTTACACTTTAAATTAAGCTTTAAACAATATTTTTTAACACATTTCATTATTTTTAATCACTGCACTCACGTTTATTGTACAAAAATATATCACACAACCGAATTTGCAAAGTTAACTGAAGTTAACCCGCGCACGAACTGTCATACACACGAGCAATCCAATAGGAACGAAAGAGAATAAAACGAAACTTACTGAATTGGGAAAGGAAGAATTATAAAGGAAATGAAAAAGTGTGTTAAGACCAAATTGCGGAAATACACATAAAAAGAGGTTTAGAATTACATATTAAATATCAAAATTTGTTTTAGGAATATTGGCGGCAACATTTATTTTTCCGAAGGCGACGCATTATATTCAATTATTAGTAATAATTGCGATTTTCAATTACAATTTAATATAGGTTTGTTAAAATAAAATATTAAACGGAAGGTAGTAGAGTTCCTCCCGCCGTGACAAATATGCATCGTTTTATTATTGTCTTATACAATTTAATTTCTAAAACGTAGCGCCGCACTCACACCTGCAGCCACACCTGCAACACCGGCCGTTTCAAGACTTGTGCCTGCCACACCACTAACTGGCGGTTTAATACCCAGTAATTCGCATAGTTGATTGCGTACAGGACGCACCATAATTAGCGGCGATCCCCAGTCTGTTTCGGACAATATATTCAATATCTCATCCATATTCTCTTCAGGAATGTCACAACTGTCACCATGCAAAGCAAGCGCTTCGTACAATTTAGTGGCACTTGTTTTGCGCACATGTACATGGGTAAGACCGAGGAATATTGCCATTTTGGATAGTATGCGTTTGCAAAGATGTGGTACTTGCACCAGCTGGCAAAAGACACTTATGCTCGATACGAGTTTGTAGAGTTTTTTGTGTCCTTTAATCTCAAGATTCAGCAGGCGGTAAATGTCCTCACCAAAAGTATTTGACTCATCCAACAATACCACGTTTATGGTGCCTATTAATGCGAATAATGCGATAATGTGTGAAAATTGGGTAATGTTAAGTAAGGATTAAGACTAACCTGAACTTATTAATATGTCCAAGAAGTTCAGCATAGGATATGTCACACGTTCATTCATGACATTTTCTTCGAAGTTGGCGACTATCTCTTTACATAAACGTGGCACTTCTGCAGGATGTGTGCGTAAGAATTCAAAGAATGCTGCCGATGAGTATTTTATCTAAAAAATGTTTTAGATAAAAAATTTACAATTAAATACTTAATAAAGAAGATTTAATATTTGTTTACCAAAGACTCGGTCAACTGTCCAATGCTTGCGCTCAACCCGAGTAGCACGCGCTGTGAGTAATCGGGCAAATCGAGCAAGGAGCAGAATAGTGGGAATGTCTGGTCGGCAAACAGCCACAATACACTATTAACATCGGCGGGGAATATCTCCAGCAGGCGTACATGGTGCCGTATGTGCGGTATGGGGGGTGTAGTAGTTATTATTTGACAGAAGAGACGACCAGCCAGGCCGCGTGTACGATCTATTTTCTCAACAGCCTGCTGCATGAAACCCAGTATAATTTGATGAACTTGCTGTGGCTGTAGTAGGTCCTTCGGACATGTTGTGATAAGTTGATGGAGGGCTGGAAAAAGCGACTAATAAGTTTTTCACTAATAAATATTTAATTTTAATTTATAATACCATTCATTGCTGCTTCGCGTACCCATGCACCAATATCACCTCGATTGTCTAATGTGTATTCATTCAAGGCTTTTATAAGGCAGTCTACAACTTTGTTGAAGTACTTTGGATTGCCAAATGAGACTTGATAAATAGAAAAATATTCGAAAATTATTATTTTACAAGAAAAATTTCCTCTTCTTCTAACAAAGCTTACTTTTGCTATCTCTACTAAAACCCAAGGTGTGCACCACATTACTAAGCGCTTTAACACTATCACGTCTCGCTTCGCTCCATGTGCCCGTTGCCAGGTTCTCATGCTGATTCATCGCTTCACCGGTTGTAATAACAGCTTGTGTTGGCGTGAGCGAATGCTTTATCAGACTTTCCAGTACATCATCTAAATTCGCTTTGATCATAAAGTCGGGCAATGCACCTAAAGCGCTTATAAAGCCCATACGTGTTTGCTCCTCCATGATATTTGTGGCACCTTTTATGTAGCTTCTTATAATTTCGGCATTTGGGCCAAATCGCTCATCACCCATATAGTATGAGCGGCACAGTTCTGCGAAAGCTGCTGATGCACCCTCACGTATGGCAGATGCTTTATTCAACAGACATTTATCGATGATATACTGCCAAGATTCTGCAATTTTAAAAATATTTTATATTTATTTATGTATACTTGAACTATAGGCATTTGTTGTTGTAGCGGTTATCTAATGCCCACTTGGGTGGTAAGGTTCGAATTGGTTGTCTTTAAAGTCGTCCAACGGCAGGCCCACGAAGTGTGTTGTTTCGACGGAGTCGGACTACAGGGAGAGAGGCGTTAGATAAGCGAGGTTTGCTGGGTATGCAAAGAGATGGTTAGGGTCATGGGAGACCTAATTGCACGATGGACATGTATTTCCTAAGTCGGTGTCGATTCTGGATAAGTAAGAGTTTAACCTGCTACAGTATCCAGAACGAAGTTGCGTAAGGGTCACTCTAGATTTCCAGATTATTCGTCTGCAATGGGCGGTGGCTTGACTCCAAATACGCCATTCACTGAGAGGGAGTCGATGCAAGTATTGATGGCTCCACTATGAATGGCGATCAGTGCGTGTCTAAAGTTAGTTGCGTCCTTAGTCTGGTCAGCGTAATGTTCGTTGTCGTCGACGTAATCAAGGAAATGAGGCGAAAACATCCTAGCAGAAGCTGCTTGAAGAGGAGTTCATTATGATTTTTGACCGGAAGCATGCAAATGTTCAACCGGAGACATCAAAAGGCATCCTGTAACTGTCCGAAGTGCAGTAGTTTGACACGTCTGAAGGTTTTTCGTGACTGGCCAGCCGATTGCTTGGTATGTCGCCCGCAACATTTCTTTGTCTTTTCCCATGTGTTGCGATTTGAGGATTTTGTTGCGGCTCTGTACTTTGACCGCGATCGTATGAGGAGTGAGGGAGCACAGGCTGTCGAATGTAAAATGTTAGGGTTGTTGACAGTCGGAATTTTAACGCCATCGACTATGTTGTTAAGATCTAGTCTGGATTTAATCGGGGAGAGTGTCAAGTCAAAGATAGCCGGTTACTTTCGAACACCTGCCATCCATTCCAGTGCATGACATCAACACCATGCAATCATCAGCGTACGAGGCGATGGTAAATGGTGGTTGAGTCCTGTTTGAAAAAGACATTTGTACTTACCTACGCATGTAACGGATGCTTCAATTCGTGCCATGCTGCAATTTCTTATGAAATCAGTAGAACAGTGTTTCATAATTTCACCGCTCATGCCACGGAACATGTCGCGATGCACATATTTTGCCATCAACTCATTTAGGTCGGTCACCAATTGATTAGATAGAAACTTTTTGCAAGCATTGCCTTCAACTTGACGCTCTGTCTCGCTCAAAGCCAATGTAATTTCACCAATCGCTAGCACAGTACCGTGCCGCATATTGATATCAATTGACTCCGTTTTGCCCAAAAGCTGTCCCAACACCACAGTTGCCATATATTCTGGTGCGCGAAAGGTTAGCTTGTGCAACGCCTTTGCGGTTAGTTCACGTATCAACGTATCCCAGTGATTCACTTTTCGCTCGACTAAGTGATCGATCAGCGGTTTCTGATACTCCTCAAATTGTGCTATGTAATCACCTACATTCAAGTAGGAATTTTGCCGTAAACCCACAGAAAAAAAATCGGTTGCTGTTGAAATTTCTATGCCATGTGGGAAATTTCCTAAACGACCAACACTCTCTTGGAAAGCAGCAGCTGCAGCGCGTCGACAATTTATTTCACGATCGAATACAGCGACCGTCAGTAGACCTGAAGATATTTGCTCCACGAAAGGTTGAAAATCTTCTGGATTATAGGCGCGTGCAAATGCCCAGCACATGTAACAAGCAGCATCGCGTATATGCTGACCCACGGACATGTAGCCCTTCATTTCATCGTAAAACAAAGCCTGCATCAATAGTGGCACCAGCGTACGTAGACGATGTGGCAACAGTAGCCCACGCTTTGCCAGCTCAGCTAGCGCTAGGCATGCCCCATGCCAAGCCTCATGCGGCTCTAGTGGATTTAATATGTCAATAACGGAACCAATTACTTCATCAGCCAATTCTTTGGAGAGTCTGTTTGTGACACGCCCTATACCCTTGGCTGCGCTCCAACGTATGTCACTACCACCACTGCGCAATGCTTGCAGCAATTCTTCTATTACTTCCTCAATGGCATCTGGAACAATGATTTCTTCGCCATCACCATCTGCATTGTCCGTATCAGGTTCATTTCCGCTGGCGCTTTCGTTAGCCGCAGCATTTGTTGACTTATTCAAATTCTTAGCCAATGAACGCGTACCTGTAATTTGTTTTAAGTGTAATTTTTTATATGTTATACCTTATAAGGATTATCTATTTCATTTCTGTATAAATACCACGCTTGTATCGCCAGCCTGCCAACCGCGGCTTCAAGTACACCAAACCTATGCGCTGCACAATCTTTATGTAGCACTTGTATTTCAAAAAATCATTACTTTCTTTATATTGCAGTCCAACAATCCATTTCAGTAATTTATCGGCATATGGCAACAAATCTTCACGCTTTCCATGCTTCAAAATAGCAGAAACGGCAGCTAATTCACCGAATTTAGCGTCGCCAGTTTCCGATTGATGTTGGCTCATAACCCAGTCCAAGTAACGTTCCAAGTAAATATCTTTAATATCAGCGCGCACTAAATATTTGGCTGCCAAATATGCGGCTATATTGCTACATGTGTCATTTGTGGCTGAATATAATTGGCAGAGATCAAAAATCCGTTCCATTTTCGATTTACTATGGACATTTGTATGGTTCAACATTTGCGTAGTGTCAACGCAGTTACCAGACGAAGTTGGCTCGTTAGTCTTTGTGACATAAGCATCCAAACGAGACATATGGAAGGGATTCAAAACCAATATAGACATCCAAAGCAACAGCATGTATCGTGTCTCCCAGTGGTTAAATTCATTGGGATTTTGACGCTCGAGCATTTCCAAAGCGAATTCGAGATCAGTCAATTCATGTGGTAAAAACTTTACCAATACTTTGTATGTGCGTACTTTAGTAATAATATACATATATTTGAAGGCGGCATGGATTTCGCCTTCCGACAACGCCCTGTTATGAACTTTCGCTAGCAATCGCTCCAATAATACATTTAAATGCGGATCTAGTAAATGTGGCTGCTCTTGATATCTAAAGAGTACGAGACATGTAAATTATTATTTTATGGCACTTAATTAATTAATTATTTGCATTGAATGTACCGAGATAAAATTTCCGTATATTGCTCATGGTCTTTTTCAAAGCCTGGCGCATCGCAAGCTTTCAAAAAATCGATCATTTCGAGTACTTGCTCCAATTCCGTAAACTGCTCCAGCGTATTCGAGGGACCTTCATCGTCCTTCAGTTCTTCGCATTGTAGCATTTTTAGACAGCAATTATTCGACTCTTTTACTGAAAATTTTTGGCAATTTTTCTATATTTATTGAACAGCCGGTTGCTGAGTGCGTTGCTTATGTTTTTTCCGATCTACGTAAATTTATAGACTTGCTTAGTTGTTGCTTTGCATATGTTATTTCGTTGTTTTTGTTGGAGTTTTGTTGACTTCATTCCATTCCCAAATTATGCGCGGCCAGATGACACATCGATATATCCCAGTAAACACTTTTTATAAAGCGAGTTTGTTTTGAAACTGGGTGGGAATTAAAATCTAAGAAAATTAACACAAAATTTAGATGTAGTTAATTTTAATGTTGGGTAGCACCAAAAATTATTTTGAGATACAAATAACAGGTAAAAATTGAGCCAACCTACCATTATATACATATACATACGAATATATCAATATTTGCGAATAAAAAACACTTTATTAAAATTAAATACTTAAAAACATACAAGCATTGAAGTCAAAGTAAAATTAAATATTAAAATATTAATTGTATAATAATATATCAAAGAATTAATGAATCCATACTTTTAAATTTATGTAGTTAGTGTCTTCTATTTTTCACTGCTGAATTTCTATCTGCGATACACCCTATGTTCGGTATCAGCTCGTTTAGCAGTATAAAGAATCGTCAGCTATTCAATTATTACAGGAGTTGTGAACACGAAAAGTGTAAAGCAATAAAATTTCAGAGTTATTTTTTACAACTTCTCCACAAAATTTATCAATCGAAATAAATTATTTAGTGAGTACGTCGTAGTGTTGAAGTGAAGATGGAAACAGCGCCAACCGCTGAGTTAGTTTATCAGGGTATTTGTACCCTTTTCCACAATAGTAATCCCAAAGAAAAGGAAAAGGCCAACAAATGGCTAGAGGATTTTCAGAAGTCGGTGAGTTATCTATTAAATTCAAAACAAAACTATACAATATATTTGAAAATGATACCAAAAACATATATCATAATTGCAGATATATTCATGGACAATTGCGGACGAGCTGTTGCAACAGAAACGCGATTTGCATTCGTGTTATTTTGCTGCACAGACGATGCGTAACAAAATTCAAAATTCGTTCAATGAACTCCCACCTTCATCACATGAATCCCTGCGCGATTCTTTAATTGCACACATCGGACAAATAACAAATGATACCGATGCAGTAATTGTAACACAACTCAGTCTCGCCGTTGCTGACCTGGCACTGCTAATGGCAGCTTGGAAGCAGCCAATTATCGATTTACTAGAATTATTATCGCCACAAGCACAATCTGTGTGGCCACTACTGGAAATACTTACACTTTTACCAGAAGAGATCGATTCGCGATATTTGCGTTTGGGCTCCAATCGACGCGAGGAAATTCATAAGCAGTTAGATGCTGCTGCGCCCAAAGTACTTGAATTTCTATGCATTTGTTTACAACGCAGTGATGGACAACAAGAACGGCTTTTAAATTGTACCCTACGCTGCTTCAGCGCTTGGGTAGCAGTGCAAGCAATACCAATGCATCATTTCACAGAGAATCCAGTGGGACAAAAGGTTTTCCAGCTTTTAAGTAGTGCAGAAACTTCAAGAAAATTACATGATACATGTACAGAGTGTTTGTGCGCGCTGCTTAGCTGTCTTGAAGCTAGCACCAGTCGTTATAAATTGGATCCGACAATTGAAGCACAAATTTTTAATGCAGTTTGTTCCTTAGAGACGGCTTATCACATTAGTGTGGCACATGAAGATATCGATAAGACAATGAACTATTGTCGCATATTTACAGTTTTATGTGAGGCTTACTTTTACGAAATGCTTTCCAACGAAGAAGCGCCACATTATTCCATTAAAGGACTGGATTTGGTGCTGATGTGTGTCGGTCATTTTGATTATGAGGTAGCAGAAATTACGTTTAATTTGTGGTATCGCCTAAGTGAGGATCTGTTTCAACGCTATAATGATAAGTTAACATCACATTTTAAGCCACACATTGAACGGCTATTGGGTGCGCTTTACCGGCATGCACAAATGGACGCTGATCATGATGGACTAATTGATGAGCACGATAGTTTTAATGTATGTATGAAATTGTTGTTTATACTATTACTGTGCTTAATATTCAATATTCTTTTTCAACAGGACTTTCGACGCAAAGTGTCCGATTTAATCAAGGATGTGGCTTTCATTGTGGGTTCGGGTGCGTGCTTTAAACAAATGTTCCTTATATTACAAGCGCCGAATACAACGTGGGAATCGACAGAATCCGCTTTGTTTATTATGCAAAATGTTGCCAAAAACATCATACCGTAAGCACACAAATCTTAACACTTTTTAATATTTTTACAACTACAATATATTATATTTCTTTCTGTTTTTACTAGTGATGAGAACGAAGTTATACCCAAAGTTGTAGAGGCCATACTAAATCTGCCCGATAATACGCATATTGCGGTACGTTACACCTCAATCATGTTGCTGGGCGAGCTCTGTGATTGGATCGAAAATCATCCGGAGTCGCTGCAAGCCGTACTCAATTTTCTACTATATTCACTGCAACAGAAAAATGGCTTAGCAGCGGCCGCCGCGATAGCGCTCACATCCATCTGTGCCGCCTGTCGACAGAAAATGGTGTGCCACATAAGCGGTCTGGTCGAGATTGCACGTAGTCTTGATAGTTTTGAAATCAATAATGATTTAGCGATTGGTCTCTTAAAAGGCATTTCTTTAATACTATCGCGCCTCCATCACACACAACTGGAGACATCGATGCGTGAGATTATATCCTTTCAATTGCAACCATTAGCATTAATGGTGGAGAACACAACTGCCACATTGGCAAGCGTACAGAAGGGCGAACGCACCGATCCCGCTTACTGGATTGATCGCGCTTGTGCAGTTATACGTCACACGAATCCGGATATCGCCGACGGTGAGCTGCATCCCACCGTGCAAATACTGACCGATGCCTGGCCATTGTTATCACAAGTTATGGTTAAATATCAAACCGATGTACGCATTATGGAGCGTACATGCCGACTCATACGTTACGGTGTGCGTATGGTGCGCAAACAGGCTTCGGTTTTGGTTGAGCCGTTGGTCAAGCAAATGATTTGTATATATACGCTGCATCATCACAGTTGTTTTTTGTATCTCGGCTCGGTGCTAGTCGATGAATTCGCCAAAGCCGGTGAATGTATACCAGGTGAGTGTAGATTTGTTATGCAACATAACCTTAATTTACTTAATGGCAATTGCTATGGTGCTTATGCAGGTCTCTTAGAAATGCTGAAAGCTTTCATTGAACCCACCTTTAGTATGTTACGTGTGGAGAATGGTCTCAAAAATAATCCAGACACTGTGGATGATTTCTTTCGCCTGTGTTCACGTTTTATCGAATGCTGCCCTGTACCGTTTCTGCAGAGCACACTCGTCACACCGATTTTCCAGTGCGCTCTACTCGCCTGCACACTCGATCATCGAGAGGCCAATTCGTCAGTGATGAAATTCTTTTGCAATCTCTTGAAATGGGGACGTAGTTCGAATCAACGCCATGCCGAATGTCGTCCATTGGTAAAAGAGATAGCCGAACAAAATGGTGCAGCGCTAATTTTGAATCTAATACACGCCTCAGTGTATTGTTTGCACTCGTATATGTTGTCCGATGTCGCAGATGTGATATATGAATTGAAATCGGTTGAGACGCACGAGCATATGCAGACGTACATCAGCACGGCACTAGATGCTTTACCAAAGCGCAATAGTGGTGGCTATGTAACGGCAACACAACAGCAATTGGACGATTTTACTGCCGCAGTGTTGAGGTATGTTGTTAAAACGTTGAAACTTTGTAGTCAAATACATGTATATATTTTTCTGATTTCATTTTCCAGCAATGCCAGCACGCCGAAGACAATAACCGTAGCGCTGAAGAACTTCACACGCTTATATCGCTAATTAGCGTGGCGCACAAACTTCACCACAGCTTAAATTAAATGCATATATACAAATATACTCGTAACTACGTATAACAGCAAATTTGTTGTATTGTATTTATATATGTATGTATATATTTTGCATACTTAAATGTATTTAACGAAATTTTAGCATTTGTTAAACTCCAACATATGTAAATGTTAAGAATTCCACTGCGGGAGCCTTTTTTTTTTATAAAGTCAATTTAAGACGACTGACCATACAACAAAGATGTATGTATGTAATATCTTATATTTAATTAGTTCATTTAACTAACAATGGATTTTATTTTATAAAATCACTCAATATATATGTACAAAGCAATTTCAATGTAACATGTTGAATTATACATTAAAAAAAAAAAACAAGAACAAGAAATTTAATATATACATGCATACATATCTAGTATATATGTATATGTAACATATATGTATGTTTCTTGCGCAGCAAACCCCAACCGTCTAAATATTGCGGTTTATAATTAAATTTGAGCGAAAAAAAAATGTTAGCGTGTGTTAATAGTGAAGAAGGTTTAGCTAGTAGTGGCGTATAGTTTATATTTTAGTAGAATGCAAATCAAGCAACCTATATTGCAACGGTTGAACGAAGTCATTTCAAATGTAATCATTGAAATTAATGCATTGAAATTTTGTGTTAAATAAAAAATGACCGAACAGGACGAAATTTTACTTTTCACTTTACTTCGTTTATAAAAAAAAACAATAGGCATGCGCAAACTGCAGCTTGAAATTACTTCTGAAAGAAACTTGTGTACATATTTTTTAGTTTAAAAATTCAAAAAGAATTGTTTAGAAGTTTTAATAAACTTCACAGGTGCATTTCTTATAGCATAAAGGGTAAAAAAAAAGATATTTAAATTTATTTTAATTGGTCAGTTTGTATCGCAGCTATATGATATAGTGGTTCGATCTGTACAATTTCTTCGGAGATTGTAGCGCTGCCGTGGACAATAAACCATGACGAATTTCGTAAAGTTAGCTTGTCAAATAAACAAGTACGCCATACAAGGGCTTGATTTTGATTGATCAGTTTGTGTGGCAGCTATATTATATAGTGGTCAGATATTAGCGGTTCCGACAAATGAGCAGCTTCTTGCGGAGAAAAGCACGTGTGCGAAATTACAGATGGATATCTCAAAAACTGAAGGACTAGTGAACGTATTAGAGCCAGACATGGCTAAATCGACTCAGCTCATCACGTTGTGCACTTATTTATATACTTAATGGGTCTAGCAAAAACAAGAACTGCTCGCAGTAAACAAAAAAGTTGTCGGCTAAATTTCCACGGCACACGGTTTTACATAACCGAAACGGACGCGGTTTTATGGTACATTCGGCCAAGAACTGTCAACCCGGCAGCATACCAAAAGTTAGTCGCCTAGCGGAAAACGCAAAAACCAAACTTTTTAAATGAGATGAAGCCAAAACGGAAGCAGTATTTTGAGATATTTTCTCTCAATAGCCAATTCTATGCACCGAAACTAAGCGCATTTCTATATGTTGGATTCACAAATAATATTGTTGGGGCGTCATTGAAATTCGATATCAGTAAAAAACGAAGAAATTCAGTGGATGGAGCTCAAACATTAAAATCCAAGTAACGGGAATGGAATCGGGTTTAATGCTCCAAATTACTAGGAACTATTTGGACAACAATGGACCCAGCCAAGGACTGTCACCACGGCAGCATTTCTCCGAAATACTTCAGCACTACAACAACAACAACCACGAACTATTTGACAAATGTGTGGAGAGTCAAAAAAACAAAGCAACCAACTATGGCATTAATACTACTCAGCCATATGGAGAGGGTATGCATCAGAATACTATCACGCTGATCAGGACAAAAAGTTATCAGCAATTTGCATACCTTCTACACCTCCCAATCCTTACATAATTTTAGTTACAAAAAAGCCGGTTGGGGGGCACGCTAATGTTGCCACGTTGAATCACGAATTTACTAGCTGATGCAACAACAATTGCAAACATTTCCTACAGGGTTACTACGACAAAACAACATTGGGAAATTAAACTACAAAATGAAAATGGGTCTCGTACAAAGAGCAGATTGCAAGGTAAAACCACACATAACGAAGATTACGCTTCCCGTTCGCACTACTGATCTGATCTATATAACCAGATTGCACGCGCAATTTTCTCCAACCAATGGCAAACAGCTCGGGAGTACTGCTCAAAATTAAAGTTTTTTACCACTACAACAACAACAACAACTCCTTAACGAAACTACACAAAACATATACAATGACTACAATGAGTTTATTAATTTTTTTTTGCAACGACATATACGCGTACATACATACATATACTTAATTAAAAATACAATATAAATTAATTAAAAGCGAAAACAAAATGGAATGTAGTACTCACCAAAAAAGTAAAGTGAAACAAAAATTTTATAACTAAACAGCAGACGAATAAAATCAACAGTCATGTGCAATAACAACTTATGGCAAACGCTTCTTCAACAAACTCTCCAATTTGCGTATGCGACCACGATCGCTGCCGCTATTCGACGAGCCATCGGCGTGCTTATCTGCGCTGCCCGTAAAACTGCCGACACTGAAAATAAATGCACGCTTCGGTGTGGAAGTGGCACCGCCAGCTGGCGCCGCAGCAGTGACAGTTGCTGACTGTGCGTTTTCATCAGTGCCATTGTTGCACTTCGTAGACGATGAACTCGCATCCGTATTATCGCTGACATTCAGTTCTGATTGCGCCTGCGCACTTTCATCGTCAGCAGCTGCTGATATTTCGGGCAAACCATCGACTACGGCAACATGAGAGGCAGTGTGTTTGAAGAGATCAATCAATTGCAGCTGGTCGACGCGTTTCACCGCTTTCATATCTAAAATTTTCTGATATTCCGCAATGGTGATGTCGGGCAAAAGTTTAAGCACCTGCTGCGTAAAATGTGCTGGCGGCTGTACGGGTGTCATAACCACTTTGATAATCATTTCGGCACGTGTCATATCCTTCACAACGACTTTGGTGTAACTGGTGGGCGCCTTACGATTAACGCTCGAACCAATTGAAGGCAAATCGAGCAAAGCGGTTTTCAGACTGTGCGTATCGAGTAAGAGTTGCTCGCAACCCAAAACATTGTTGGTGCCATCGGAATGTGTTAGCTTGCATTTGTAGAGAACGTTAATGAATTTCGGTATGAAAGCGTTGACAAACTTGTGACAGAATTGTGTGAAGTATTTGCGTGATGTGGCCAAATTATCGCGAATCACCGGTATTGTCTGTTTGAAATTTGCACAAATGCTGCTAATGAAGGCACTCTGATCACCAACATTGCTTATGCTCTGCCACTGTACTTTGGACATAGACTGTAGCGGCGCTTCACAGCCCGCTTCCAAATCCTGCACCAGCAATTGTATGCAGTTTGAAATAATGCTGTGCGAAGCGTATAAAAACAAAAAAAAACAAGTGAAATCGCAAACTTGATAAAAACAGTTATTTGCTACTAACCGATGAAAGACATCCTTTTCCTCTGACATATCTATTTTATTGGCATAAGCTGTAGATATTTTCTCCTTAAGTTTGTCCTCCAATTGTTGCACTGTCTCCAGACAATATTCCGCTGTGGTTAGCACACAGCAGATTTGTATTAAATCTTCGCGTGAAAAACGTTGCGTGTCGCCCTCTTTCAAGAAATTATGGAAAACTTGACCTGCGGCTGTGGAGAGATTCTGCATATCACGTGTGAGCAAGGACATGCTTTTACCTGAAGAATTATTTAAAATAAACAAGTTTAAAGACGAAAAAAAAACAAGAAAAAACATAAACTTCGGCTGCACCGAAGCTATAATACCCTTCACAGGTGCATTATTCATAGCAAAAAGGTTATAAAAATATATTTATCTTGTTTTTGATAGACCAGTTTGTATAACAACTGTATGCTACAGCAGTTCGATCTGAGCAATATGTTCAGAGATTGTTGCCTTGCCTTGAACATTTTTTTCGGAAATTATATAGTTGCCTTGGACAATAATCTATGCAAAATTTCTTGAGGATATATTTTCAATTAAAAAAGTTTTCCATACAAGAACTTGATTTCGGCCGGTTTGTATGACAGCTATATGCTTTAGTGGTTCAATATCGATGACACCGACAAATAAGCATCTTCATGGGGAGAAAGGAAAATTGTGCAAAATTTCAGATTGATGTCCCAAAAACTAATGAACTAGTTCATGTACATACAGAGAGACAGACAGACGAATATATATAGCCTAGCCGGGGCATAATTACAAAAATTGAGCTCACCAATCGACGCTGTTGTTGTTAGCAATTTTGGTGTGCTAAACTCTAATACTTTGCTGGCATATTCACGAAGATACTTTTTAAAAACTAGCGCCAATTCATACATCGGCTGTTCATTGCTCAGCTGACAGCACTGCACCATACACTTTTTATAAAATACAAATAAGTCTGCCGAACTGTAAGAAAAAATTAATGAAATTTTTTTACTAATTAACAAGCAATATATATATAACCATAAACTCACCTTGGATAGACAGTCGTTTTCGATTCGGCAACTTTAAAGGGTTCCTTAGCCAAGTCCACAAATTTCTCCATTAGTTCCGATAGATTACGATCGATGCTCTTAATATAAATGCCTAGATGTGCCTTAAAGCAACTGCCAATTTGATCTTGAAATAAACCAATGGTTGGCGGCGCATTTGGATCAACCATGCCACTTTCGGGTAGTACTTTGAGCGCTGTTGTTGATGGTCGCCGCTCAGCGCCCAAAGTTACGCCGGTGAAACGTTTGGATAGCAGCTGTTCAAAAGCTTGTGTTTTATTGATGGCAAAGAGTAGTAGACGCACATCGATTTCGTTGCTGCGCTTCGACATAATTTGTGTGAGTTGTTCACGAGTTAGACGACAGAATTCGACAGTAATACGCTCAGATACTTCCCAGTCGAGTGGAAATACAACGCCGAATTTATCCTCAAAGTCAAGTAGGTGGCGTTTAAGCCAAGCGTAGCGTTTGTCGATTTTATCCAACCAGGCAATATCTTGGTTCTCGTGAAAGAGTTGCACGTACTCTTCAAGTTGTTGTGCTATTTAGGAAATTAAATATTTTTGATTTTTATAAATAGATATAAACTGTATAAGTAATTATAGAAAAATCCATTAGAAATAACGCACCTATAAACCACTTTAACAGTTCCTTTTTGACTTTTGGATCCAAAACGGAAATCACTTTACAAGCATCCGCCAGTTGATTCAAGCCCAAACGCTGTTTGTTGCTGGCATTACCACTTGAAACTGATTTATGTGAGAATGCATCTTTAAAATCTTCGGTTATTTGTTTAGCCAATGTCACTTGTATTTTGTCCACATTTTGCGATAAATTCTAGTACATAAAAATGTATTAATTGTTACACTAATTAATTTTTACAAGTAGTAAATTTGTTTTACCTTTATTTCTTCAATATCAGAATATTGTTTGAAATGTTGATTAACTTCAGTAATTGCTTGCAATGGATTTAATATCTCGCCATACAAACGCTTTTCAATTAATTTATTTAAACTTTCAATACCGCCTACCAGCATATGCAAGTGATTTAGTGTCGTAATCGCAGAAGTAAGATTTCGTTTTGCACAATCCAACTGTTTAATATCGCGCGTAATTTCTTTTACCATTTCCTCTGTCTTTTCAGCACGCGTTTTCACATCAATAATGTGCGCATACAATGTTGTTATAACTTTTTGAGCTTCGGTAAGAGCCATTTGCCCATCCTGACCTGTATTGGTTTGGCCACGCACAACAGCACGTATATTATCATCAATTAATGACACTTCACATTGCATGCGCTGTATGGTCTCATCAATGGTTACCAAAGACTGTTCATTTGGAAAAAGCTGATTAATGTAATCGACTGTATTGAAGTCAGGTGAGTCCATTGGATCCTCAGTTTTTAGCACCTGCAAGCAAATTTGTTAAATATTTTGAAAATTTTTTAATTGATGCTGTGAAAACTTATGATACCATTTAGTTGCGGTACGTTCTCATAATCCAAATAATACGAACGAGAGACTCGCAATCATATCATACTGCTAATTAGTATTCCCAAATTGTAAGCTACTTACCTTATCGATTGCATTCTTTACATCTTTTGTAAAATGGATACGATGCGTACCAGTAGACGTAGTATTATCGGCAACATCATCATCCACTTCCAAAACTTTTGCGCTCATTTTTAGATTCCTTATTATTCTTTAATTTTATTGAAAATTGATCTCACTGCTGTTTGTTAAAGCAAAAATTGCATCTAATCAAAACGTCATCAAAGCTGTAACAAACAGCTGATTGAACAGTTATGTGTGGATGCCATACCGATAAGTATTTGAAACGTCAACAAAATGCAAACCGAAATGGAAATTTTTATAACATTTTTTTAAAACACAAATTTTTACTTATTTTTTTTATTTTATTGAGAGAAATGACTTGTATTCATTGAATTACTCAATCCCAACGAAGAAGTATCACGTTGTGTAGCCAAAGCTGTTCGTTGGTAACGCGCTATATGGTCCAGTGAGTGAGGCAGTATTGGGCGAACAGTGTGCATTTCTAACAGCGTTAAATTATCCAATTTCGCATATGTACCCTCGCCCTTGATGAATGCGTCGATGGATGTTCGCAATTTTGCTTCACGAATATCAAAAATATCTTTGATAATCGTACGCAGCTCTTCACAACGTGGCACATCGTCTGGCGCAGTGCTCATGATCAATTGTGCTTCCACCATGTAATGCTCACTGGGCATCTTTGTGAAGAACCTATTAAAAAACGGCATTATGTTGAATAAATGCACGACAACAATGCTTAGTTTTACAAACTTTGATTTCTTTTCTGCTTCTTTGATCTCTTCCAATAGTTCAATTTCCATCCATTCGGGAGGCACAATGCGGCATTTTTGTTGTTTGCGCAAATGTATACCAAGCCATAGTGGCACATGGACGGGAAGCCCCGCACGAAACGGTCCCACACTACCCGATATTAAATGCAGAGGATCGAATGAAAAATTCGGCACAATGCCAATTGTGGACTTCTCGCCAATAAATTCTATAATACAAGGCTCCATTGCTTCTTCGATTAGAACGCTATTTACTTTTGTTTGCAGCTGATCGTGTGAAAGTTTAGCCGCCAAATTTGTAAACAAAGTGAAATAGCTTATACTGTGTCCGTAAAAAATATCAAAACAAATGTTTGAAAGTGTTCGGAAATGAATAACTAAAAAAAATAAAAATATATGTGCAAAGCAATACTTGTATATCATTACTTTTCGTTCGACAAATTCAAGTTTTCATTAAATGCTTTTTGGTTGTATTTCATATAAAAATTATATTTATTTTTATTAAATTATGTATAACGAGACATCCTTCATGTATAAATGCTGGTTTGTTTTTACAGAAAATATACAAAACACGATATGTCCATTATATAAATAAAATAAATATCGTCTGTTAAAAACATTAAAACATATATAAACTTCGCTACCATAAAAATTTATACAATATTTGTTAAGATAAATTCGTATAAAAACAATTGACATGATTGACATTATAAAAAAAATATATATATAAATTATTACGAGATTAGATTAAAAAATTGCATTTAGCACGAAATTTTAAATCAACTTTAATACACAAATATAAATATATATATATATATATTTGAATAAAATATCGATACTTATCCACAATTAAAATGTAATGTATGCACGATGATGAATTGATAGACAATTGCACTTTTAGCCTTAATTGCTAGTAGACGTTTAAACCATGTACTAAATATCCAGTAAATGCTACTTTCTATGTGACTTTAAATAGGTGCGCGTTCTTTTACCATATTTTATTTATATTGTTTCAGTACGCGGATCCAACTTATGAATAGCTTGTATAAGAGTAACGTTACTTTTGGTATTAATACCCTTTTTAGACATTTCTTCAAGACGATCAGTTATTGGCTTTTGATCCAAGCCCCGCTGCCACCTGAAAATTTATTTTTTACATATTTATTTAATAATAACATATGTACATGGTACCCACCACAAATGCGTACATGTGTGCAACAACGGAATATACAATTGAAGGAGGTCGATGTCACACAGTGTATCGTATCGACTTAAGGCCAAAGTTGCCCAACGTTCAGCTGAATGATGAGGCACTGGAGACATAGTACAAGCCGCTACTAGGCGACATAGTATAAGTAGTACTGGTCTTGAACGATCCATGAATATTTTGTTCAATAAGCGAAAACAATTTTCCAATAATGGTATTGCCATTTCATTACGACGCTCATCCAGCAGTTGACAGGCTTTGGACAATTCATTATCTTGTAGAAAATGTAAAAAGGCAGGCGTGTCACGTAATGTACTACAACTGGTTACATGCGTTAGAAAGGTCTCAAATGCAGCGCTACGTTCTGCAATTAAATCAGCTGAAAAATTGCCAACGAGCACCTTGTTCGGGAAATACAAAGTTGACATTTTATTTGGAAATTCCTTCTTAAGTATGTTGTATAGATTGCGAAAGTCGGTATAACGACGTTGAATACTCGCTGGTTGTGGATCGATGATTGAGGAATCTTGACGTACAGATAATTCATAAACTACATAACGTTTTACTTTAAGATCCTCGCCATCGGGTGGCATAATACGAGCAAGTTGAATTTCAAAACGTAATATAGTTGAACCATCATCGGGCAACACGGGCGCTTCTAAGGATGCAGGACGTTCCCACAAATCTGAAGGCGAAACAATGTAATCAATTACACGAATAAAAGCAATTCGCATTATATCGACTTACCCTTTTGTGGTTCTTTGTTAGAGTCATCTTTTATTGCTAACGAGCCGGTCTCTATAGTTATTGGACTTTCGAGTTCCTCTGTATTATCGGTTATTTCGACTGAATGCACTTGAGTTCTTCTAGCCATTGCGGCGCGCACTTTAGAAACCAGTAAATACTTTTTAATTACGTTTACGTTATTTGAAAAGTGTAGAAAATACATATACATTTAAAATTATACGTACAAATTAAAATATAACCGCTAAAACAAATAATTCTAGCTGATATTAAAACCAATATAATCAAAGTAATCCGAAAATATTGTTTGCTTACAATAAACGTATCTTTACGTGGACGCTAACAAAAGCAAAATGCAAACTTTACAATCTCAATTAAGCATATGAAACTTACTAACTGCTAGTTGCCACTCCCCTTGAACACTCTTTATGGGATATTGTGTTTCAGCAAATACCGTCTGAAACAAAACAAAAGATTATTCATCGCCACTAAAATATATAAAAATGCATTTATTTCTTATTTTCTCTTTCATTTATATTTATAATACACAAATGACTAATAAGCCATTACTTTAGCAATGGAGGGGCAATTCAAGCTGGTTTGTGTAGTAAATGCATTTGCACCATATTTGTTTTTTTTTATAGTTACTTAATAATAAACAGCTGTAACATAGTGATATTACAAGAATATTTAATTCAATAATTTTAATTAGCATAACAAATGTTCATTTTTAGTATACCTTTTTGGATTAAAATACTCTTTGTTTACTATTTGTATTTGTTAGATTTAACTAATCGTTCACTAAAATTTAATCCAAGCCAATAGTTGTGAATGAAAGTGCAATACTAATCTCGTACGTTATTTATTGGTGTTAGTGTAGCCAGATGTGCCATTTAAGCGATCGGACGGTTTTTATTTATAAGCAAATATAAATCAGCTGTATCGTTTTACAGAACTTCAACTGTTGGCAACACACATTTGCACAACAACAATTTCATTTGCAGATTAAAGTGTTTTAGTGCATTATTTTACTTGGCATTAATTTTACACATTCATAAAGAAAATGACGCTTCCGGAGTTTTTTGGTTGTTCCTTTATCGCATTTGGAACGCCCTTTGCGATGTTTGTTTTCACAATAGCGAATGATTCAATTCGCATAATTATTCTTATTGCCGCAGCCTTCTTTTGGTTATTATCGCTCTTGTCATCAGCCTTGCTCTGGTTCGCTATTGTACCATTACGCGAATACTTATGGTTTGGTGTAATTTTTTCTGTGATGTTTCAAGAGGGCTTTCGTTACATTATTTATCGTATACTGCGACGCACGGAGCAAGGCCTTCAGGCCGTATCTGAGAATCCGAGCATAATAGAAAACAAACATATTCTAGCATATGTTTCAGGACTTGGATTTGGTATAATATCAGGCATGTTTTCAATGGTTAATCTCCTAGCAGATATGGTAAGTAGGACTGAAAATGTTATACATTTTATGTATTTATATTTTTTATTCTTTGCAGTCTGGACCAGCTACCATGGGACTTAAAGGAGGTTCGGAGGTGTTCCTAATAACTTCCGCGACACAAGCACTTGCTATGATATTGTTACACACTTTTTGGAGTATAATATTTTTTAATGCCTTTGATGTTAATAATTATATGCACATAGCTTACGTCGTTGGTACACATCTCTTCGTTTCGCTGATTACATTACTAAATGTACATGAGATGTATATTGCCACGTTATTACCTAACTACATCATTCTCTTAGCGACTGCGGCATTGGCATTTAAGGTAGCTGGAGGCAGCAAAGCCTCCCTTTTGCGTTTTGTTAAGTGCCAATGAGACGAAAATACATGTAGATATACGTACAATACTAAAATATTTGAATATCTTTGGCATTGACTAAATGATAAAATCAATCAATTAATTTATAATGTATCAATGTAATACTAGTTAAGACTAAACAGCTAGCGTACTAATAATATAAGTAACTCAACTCATTTATATTTTAAATTTATTTCATGTGAATAATCATGATAGAACGTACAATAAAAAGCCATTACAATAATAGATTTAAATTTTTCTCATGGGAAATACTGTGCTTTTCGCACTGTTATACCATAGTCCGCAAGTGCGGGAGCCAAGTCGTCCATGGTTAAAGTATATTTGCGATCTTTTACTGGTTTTTGACCCTATTTAAAAGAAAAAATGCATATATATAAATAATGGCTTATGTTTTTATATATTCTTACCGGTGTATGTGTCCCCGGCGTGTTGCTTTGACTATTACAGCGAGTTTTGCATTGCTGCAATGCGTCATTGGCGACATCGGAAATAAATTTTTGTGTAGCCACCGATATAAGACGAACTATACGGGGATCATTTGATTCGAATCCCGCAGAATTTAGGTAACAAGCGGTTACTGCATCTGGCACTGTGGGTACGTAATCCTCCAGTTGCAGCATAAAATCGCTCAATTGTTGAACAGCGGCTCTTTCCTCAGGTGCAACGGAGCCAACTGAATTCGCTGCATTTGAGTTAGATGAGTTTGGACGATAAATACCAAAATTAGTTCCAATCATTTTAATATATTAATAATTTTTTATAGTTGAAATTAAACTTAAAAAAATTATTATAGTTGTTTTTACTTCTTATATTCAGTTCTCTCTTTCGCATTTTTAAACGTCACAAAACAAGGAAAACACTTTTGTCACAAAGCGTAGCAGTGTTGCCGTTAATTCTTGTCTTACAGTATCTAAACAAAATCCATTAATTTATCTATGTTCGGAATTTTATTTCTTTTTTTTTAATATAGAGAAAAAATAATAATATGTTTAAGAAATGGATTTCTTGATATAATACACAATATGTAACAGAAACATAAAAATAAATATAGCAACAAAATGGTTATCACTTGAATAATTATTACGGTACTTTTTTCCAAAAATTTCTATGTGGATTGTTTAGAAATGCAACCGAATGGTGTTATCAAAACAGAAAACATATGTGTCAACACAACTACATCAAATGGTGTATAAATCAACTAATCGATTTTAGAACTATATATCGTCCCCCGTGATCATTGTTAATAAATATAATTTTCGACATATAATAAATAGTTTTTACAATGAAAAAGTTTGAATTATTCAAACTTTAATCTATGTATATATAGGAAAATTCATATTATTATTATTATTATTATTTCAAAAGCAAACTCATATGTCACGTTTACTCACATCTCTAGATTAAATTGACAAAACAATATACACAAAGTGAAATTTTAAAGAAAGAAAACGTACTTAACAGGGTGAAATTTTCATATTAAAATGGTTATTGGAAACGAAGAAAATTCACCAGCGCCTGCTTCACCTCCAATAGATCAGGAAGATTCGCCACCACTACCACCTCCACCAAGTGAGGCACTAGGTGAATTGCTGGAACAAATGGAGGATTATATACCAACAGTACCAGATGCTCTAACAGCACGTTTTCTTAATCAAGCTGGTTTCGAGACTATGGATCCTCGTATTGTGCGCATAATTTCGGTTTCAGCCCAAAAGTTTATATCTGATATTGCCAACGACGCGTTGCAGCATTGCAAGACCCGCACAAGCAGCCAACATTCTGGCGGTCACGGTTCGAATAAGGTAATACGAAATACATATTAAAACACATAAATTTTCAAATATAAAGGTAATATTATTTCAGGACAAAAAACCAAATAAGGATCGTCGTTACACTTTGGCTATTGAAGATTTGACACCAGCCTTAGCTGATCATGGTATAACTATGCGAAAACCGCAGTACTTTGTTTAAATTGCGAATTCCATCTGAAATTCTTTTTATTTTCAACTCAACGATAATCAAATTAATAAATTTTGTCATAATTGAATAAATATCACTGAAAACAAGCCCTCGATTTCATATATGATTAAGATAAGCAACAAAGAATGTTGAGAAAATATTAATTTATTTTTTACATCAACTTGATATTTTGAATATTCCTTAAAAATTATTTACGTGTTATCTTTAAAATGTATAGATATTCAGCAGGAATTCGTCTTTCCATAAACTTAATTGCCGTAAAACCCAATGTATTTAAATTGATTATTAATTCGTCTGGTTTATTTTCACGTAGCGCCAACAAATAGAATACCCCTTTTGCAGATAAAATACCATCCAAACGTTTGAGTAGTTCATCGATTACACGTCTGCCATGCTTTCCACCAGCCCATGAAAATGTAATTTGTGAGTTGGTAGACGAGTTACTTTCCAATTCATCGTCAGAGGTTACAACGTAAGGCGGATTAAATACAAGTACATCAATCGTATTTTTACGTAAAAGATCTACCAAGTTGCAATTTACGCTTTCTACAAATGTACCGTTACGATAAGCAGTTTTTTTCGTCGCTTTACAAGCATATGGATTTATATCAGTAGCTAAACAAAGTGTTTCTTTCAACTTTTTTGCTAATGCTGTAACAATAATACCACTACCCGGACCAACTTCCAAGCAAATTTGCGGCTGTAAGCTCTCGATATATGATAGATCAGCTTCTAAGGCATCCAACAATAAAAAGGAATCTTCTGCCGGCTCGTACACTTGTTCGTAATCGATTAATGTTAGATGATCGGTATAAGGAGTTTCCATTTTCTTATTTTTAAGATATATTTGTGCTTATAGCTGAGTCAAGTAGAGCTTGTCTACGTCGTTGCTCTTTTTCGATAAGTCTATACAGTCCAGTCAAACGTTCCTGGCTTGTACTGAGAATGTTTGTTATAACTGTTACTTTATGCTTTACGTTTATTAATTCTTTAACTTTACTAGAAAACTCAGGAATATTATGTTGAGCCTTCTCTATTTCCACCAGTTGCACCGACAGTGAGTCCAACTGCTTTTTTAATTCTACTTGTGATGCACGAGTGGCTTGTATGTGTTCGTCCAATTTCTCCACTGATGGTTTAAATAAATTCACGATACCTTCCGCTAATATATCACGAGTAGGATTTGTGCAGAAATTTTCAGTATTTTCATCCAATGATGTCACAGTGCTATCTGAATCTTTATCCATTGCTGAATTTAAAATTCTAAGCAAACAATTAGATTTTCATAAACTTTCTCATTTACCATAATGTACAAATGTGCAAAATAAAAACATTCCAGCCATATGGTTGCCGTTTGTCGAAATTTTTCCTAACGTTGTAAACTTTTTCATTCGGTACATTTTGATTAATAATTTCTATCTGGTAATTTACGAAAATAAAAAATTTCTTATGCTCGCCCCTGTCTATCACTTCACTGAATATTCTTCAATAGAGATTAAAGTTTATTATTTTCCACAAAAGTATTATTTCAAAAGTGTGGATTTATAATAAAAATTTGGGTATATTCGCATATTATTTTGGCTACATGAAAAAGTTCAGTAACGTCAACCATGGCTTGCAATGCCAATTGTAGTTAACAGAGTTACAGGATGGCATTTAAACAAATATCATTTATTTCCAGATATCTAGTTAGAATTCAAATTTTGGAAATTAATTTATTTAAAAAAATATTTTTAACATGCTTTCATATTTTATATTGTCTACATGTTTTTGATTTACTATAAAATATAGCTACAATGAAAACAACCAACTTTGGCTTAATCGAAGAATTTCACTTCGAACTTATTTCATTTTCTATTTTCGATTTCGAAATTCTGAGTGAAATCAAATCGAACAAATTATGTGCGATATTAAACCACTCTGTTGTGTTGGCAATAAAATCATTTGTCAGGAAAATAATCGGAAATGAAATGTAAGTAATATTTTTTATACAATAATAATATATAAATGAAAATCATTTATTTATCTAACAAAAAGGGGTCGACATAAAAATAGTGCACAGGAAGCCATCATGGTTAAATTTATGCAAGAGTACCCTGATCTTGCCTGTGGTACATTGTTGAACAAACAACTGAGAAATAACCTATGGATGTTGCTGGCCAATAAGCTGAATGGTCGGGGGCCACCAAGAAAAACACCTGAGCGCTGGAAGAAAGTTAGAAAAATTATTAATATTTTATTAAAATTATATTAATTTTTTTGTATAGGTTTGGTTCGACTGGCGTTCTGCAGTTAAAAGGAAAATTGTACATGAGAGAAACGAAACTGCCGTTGGAGATCAAGATGACCTACAAATTAGAAAAACTTTTCTATCGTCAATTGAGAATAAATTAGCACACATTTGTGGATTTTTAGATAACGATATCGACGGTATTGCCACATTAATGAACAACAATACAAATAATGGAGGTTCAGTAGCTTCAGAAGTTGGTTTTGAATCTGGAAGAGCATCTGTATCAGAAGTAAGTAAATATTTGGGTGGTGATGCTGACATCAATGCCAAAGCAATCAAACAAGAAGATTTGAGCGAGCACTACGGTAGTATGACCAATGTAATCAAAGAAGAGTTGATACTCGATGAGACTGATAATGAACTGCCAATGGATTCAGATACTGGTTTTACTACTTTCGATTTTAGCGATAATAGGAATTCCACTGAAACAGAATGTATAACTGTGCCTCCTTTTGTCATGTGCCCCTCAATGCTGAGTGAGGTTAAGAGTGAAAAACAAAATAGTGACGCTGAGCGTTCATCAAAAGATCGTAACATAAATTCATTAGAAAAATCGAAAAAGAACGACGAAGAATTAGTTCAGCTAGTTACACAGCAAACCACATTAATAAAATCAGTTTCCGAGTTAATCAAAGAGACCGCCAAAGGACAAGCTGAAAGCTTGAGTGCCATGAAAGATATAAGACACGGCCTGAAGGAGATGTGTGAATCAATAAATAAACTTAATGAAGCAACAGCTGAAAAACTCAAAGAACAGCGTAGACATAATTATGAAATAGAAAAACTCAGGAGAGAAGAAATGCTGTTACAGAAGCAACAACTTGAATTGAATGAGTTGGTGATATTTAGAAAGGATTGAAATAGACATGTAAAATAGTATTTAATTTTTTTTTTCACACTACGAACGGAATACTAATTTTGTTAATGTGTAAAGTACACTTATTCAACATCATTCCAAAAAACCCCTTTAAGTTTTTTTAAATAAAATATGCCTTATATAATAAGTTGCGTTAATTTTTTGTTAAGACTAATCATTAAAATTATGAAATTCTTTCTGATATATCTAATTATAAAGTATAGAATGTAATATACAATGTAAATAAAAAAGAAATTCTCTCACTACTTGATTTTGGAACCAATTGTACTTTTAATTTCCGTCAGAAGGTCGCTAACGTTATTTCGGTGATTATTGAAATGAAAACTTTCGACCGACTTTGAAATAAAAAAAAACAAAAGAAACCATTTATTCGGAGTATTGGCTTCTACTATACAAACAACCACCCCCAGACATAGAGCTCGTGTTGCCTTGCGAAACCAGAGTGACCCTCGTGCAACTTCATTCAGGATATTGTAGCAGGTTAAACTTCTACTTATCTACTATAGACCCCGACATTCCAAACGTATGTCCTGCGTTCTATGAGTCTCCGCATGATACTAACCACCTCTTTGCATGCCCAACAAACCCTACTCATCTAACACCCTTTTCCCTATGGTCCGACCCCGTCAAAACAGCTCGTTTCCTGGGCCTCCCGTTAGATGACCTCGACGACAACCAAACGACCAAAGAGGTGGCGAGGCTCAGGAAACTATTATCCAAAAGTCACGTCTCGCCCAGTCTAATTCGCAAGAGTTGCGGGGAATGAACGAACAAATGTAAGGACTCATTAGAAGACCAAGTCAGTGTGCTACTTGACCCGCATTGACAATTTTACGCTTTAGCCCTACGGAATGGATGAGTGGGGCCACAGAGTCTATAAAATTCGCGTCAAGCGCAAGGCATTCTAAAGGATGACTACTCCTCATGGACCTCGTAACTGAACTCCAACTGGCTTCGCGAAGGACCAAAACTGGTCTATGCGTGGCTCAGTAGCCTACCAGACTAACCTAACCTAATCAGATGGATATACCATATACATATGTATCTTCGTCCAGCAATCATTTACGTTTTCTATTACCGTTAATTTAAAGAGTAATATACACTTGTGAAGTTAAAATATATATATATACAATAGCGATTGTACATGCATTTGAAAATATTTTCCGAAATTTTGAAATTTATCTGGAAAAAGTTTCGGAGAAATGAGGGTATTTGTAAACAAAACTTTACTTGGTGTAATCGGCTCCAAAAATGAATTTGAGCCAGAGATTTTTTAGGTGAGGTTTTACGGATTATAAAAATTTCTTCGTGATTAGGTGCATTTTGGCATTATATTAATCATTTGTCGGAATCTGTTATATCGGACAACTATATCACATATCTCTAATACAACCGATTATTCTGATTTTTTTTTCTGATAGCCTGCCTTTAATTAAAAAGCTTAGAGCATAATAATTTTGCAGAATTGGTCTCTAATACATGCTTAAAAGTGACTGTGAAAATAAAGAAGATCGGACAACAATAACATATATATCCCCGTTAAAATATTCTTCAAATCTTTAGCTGAGTTTTTTTTTTTTTAATTTTGAATATAACTATATTGATATGATTAATCATATTTTTTCAAAGATAAATTAAAAATGTGTGCATACATGTAGGTTTATATATACCATTCTTTTAATAGTATCATTTATAAATAAAGGTGCATAAATAAGCACTTTACACAGAAATGCTTCTCATTTCATTATTGATTATTGACGAAGTCTCTCGAAATGCCTGTATCGTGTTCTCGGACTTCAATTTGTTGGGTGTGCTACCAATTTTGTTGTTCTTTTCTTTTGTACGGGCTTTGGGAGAGTGAGTATATTACATACAAAAGTACATTCATATAATATATATAAAAATATTGGTGTACATATCATGTATACTCCATTACCTAAGGGTGGTTTATTGTTTCATTGGTTAGTGATTTTATTTGATTTATTCGTTTGTTGTAGCTGTTATTGAACTCCCCATAACATGCGATAGTAACATTGTTTGCCATAGAATTTATAACCAAGCACATTGTGTATAAAGGGTATCGCATTCAAATAATATATACGCAGAAGTATTAACCAAAGAGTTGGGTATGTTACATGTATGTATATGTATGTATTATATGTATGCACGTCTTGGTTACGCAGTAAATTCTGTGTTGAATATTTTCCATATATTTAAGAGGGTTATACTTTGCTCTAATTATATATATGTACATAAGTGCATACACGTGTACATATGTACGTATATTTGGATATCTGACTATCAATCTTTATTTCAATATCAGTATATTTTTTATTTTCACAGTCGTTTAGAATATAATCTAATATGTCCATGTTTAAATATACATTATATATGTATATACTTAATAGGGTGTCCGTTACTTACCAAGTTGATTTTGTTTTTGCAAATACCCCCTTAAGTATCAGTTTTTGCCCTAAAAACAAAGATCCAACGTAAACAAGCTCTGTATTTTCAATAGAAACCGTGCCTAAATTATAATTATTTTCCCATATACATATGTACATAGGATTTTTTGATATTTTGCATTAAGTAAATCTACAACTTTAGAAAGTAATATTCTAATACAAAATGATATGCTATTTTGTCGATTTTCCACAAAATCATTACTTCGTTAGTTACATTAAAGTTATACGCAGTCAAATTTATACATCAAATATACTGAGCATTCATTCAAGCCATTTATGTATTCTATGTTGCTCATACGACATGGTGCACTATATGAATACAGCACATAAACAAGGGTGAAACTACTTTTAGGGTGAAAACTGAAACTTTCAAGGCTTTTCCCAAAAAAACTTAATTTGGGAAATAACGGACACCCTAATACTTATATATGTAATGTATATGTATATATACATGTACATATACCCATGCACGTAACTCAATACATGCTAGCAATAAAACTACAACTTGGCAAATTTATCATTGTATTACCAAGTATATATGTATATACCTAGTATGTACATACATACTTTCGGTATAATTAATACTTTTTATTTATTATATATACTTTTCAAATAACATATGTTGCTTTTTTGTTTTGTATAGTTAATAGTTAGTAACTTCGTTCATTTAACCGTATGTATAAATGTTTGTATAAATAAATGAGGTCTTTTGTTTTGTATGAATTTATTTTCATTCAGATGTTTAACATTTTTATTGGATATACATACTTTTGATTTCTAATGCATGGTAGAATGTTTAAATAATACTGTATAGGGATAGATGTTTAACTTCTTTTAGGTTTTTTACAATATATTCACATGCATGCAGTTGTATAAGTATGCCATTCTACATTACAGTAGTATATTATTTAAAAATAAAAATTGTTTAGTTTTTAATTGATTTCGACTTTAATTCGTTATTTTAAAATGGTTAATAACACTTAAAACGGAAATAAAAATATAAAAAATATTATCTTTATAGTGTTAATAATATCCCCTATTTGTTAAAACCGTAATTAGATTCTTTAAACACGCGACCGATTCGTATACATATTTAATTGAGGTTAGGTCTTCATGCAAAAAACAAACATACGAATTCCACAAATAACCATATGGAAAAAAAACCACATTCATACGTTGGTTTTAAAAAAGTATGCTTTTTGGCTGATGGTTATAGTTATAAATAAATATATGAATAGGTTAGTTTGTTAATAGTTATTAATAATTATTATTTTTTGCCACAACTCAACGCAATTTTTTAATAAAGCACATTGTCGTGTTTCCAACAATGATATCTTGTATAGCATTAATTTATAAAGATCAATAGAACGAGTAAAAATGATACCACACGCTATTTAAACACTTACCAGTTTTTCATACGTAGCGCTTTCAATTATGAATTTTGTGTTTTTAGAGAAATTTTTAATATTGAGACGCCGACAGATCGCAATTGCGTCACCAACACCCTTTTCACCTCCCTTTGACGCTAAAAATTTGGAAATCGTTTATTCTTTTGACCTCCCTTCAAAGATAAAAATTTGGGAACATTTTTTTTTGTTTTTTCTTTTGTTGGTAAATAATAATTTTTTGCAAGAGTTAAATTTTTTTCACATAATTTTCTTTTATTTAAATACTTTTCATGTTTTTTGTATTTTTACTCAATTGTAACGTTTCTAATTGCTATTGTTGTAATTTGTGTTCATCATTTTCATCTCATTGTTATTATTATTATTTAATTTTTTTTGTTTGTTTAACTCATCTTTTCATCATTACGCTTAAGTTGTTTATATTTATATATATGTATGTATATATATATATATATATAAATATATAATTATATATTAAAATGATAATATACGTAAGACTTAAGTGTAAAGGAAAAAATTATGCAGTTTGTGGGTTTTTTCGCCTTTTGTTGTTCATCATCATCATTCTCTTATTTTTTTATAAAAAAAATTACACATAATACAATTAAAATAAAATAAGAAATTAAAAAGTATTTCTTAACATAATAATTATATACTTCTTGCTTCATCATTTTTGTTTCTTTGTTTGTGTTATTACATTTTTTTGTTTTGCAGTTTTTTAAGTTTTCTTGCAGTTTTTATATTTTTTTTATATTTAATTTAAATGGTTTTTGACTACTATATTATTATTACGCCTGATCATCTGAACCGGAGCCGTCGTCGTTATCGTCATCATCATCTGTAATGGGAAAAATATTCATTTAGTGAAATATTTACTTAGTATATTATCAAAAAAAAAAACAGTTTATGCATTTTTGTTAAAAAAAACATACTTTTGGTCAAAAAAACACACTTTTGATCAAAAAAAAACATTTTTGTTAAAAAAAAACATTAGTTGAAAAATTTGGGATAAGCCTTTGAAAAAAATTTATGTGAAAATTAACTAGCGGTTACCGTTAACTATTTTTAACAAATATATATTATTTTGCAGACACCTACCGTCGCATTCGAGGTCTTCCTCCTCACCATCGTAGGGGATATCATATTCGTCACTTTCAATTTCACTATCACCCTCGGTGATCTCTTCTAAAACCTCTTCATCATCTGAATCAGCATCAGCGGCCTTTTCTTTTTTTGCCTTCTTTGATTCAGCGGATTTTGCCTGAAAAAAAGTAATGATATGTAAGTATAAAAATGTTTAATTTAATTCATAAAATAAAGTTTTTCTTGTTTTTTGGTGAGTTCACAATCAGTGGTAGGAAATGACTAAGAAGTCATGGGAAACTTTTTTGACAAGACCTTACTCTGAATGCAAATGAAATTACAAAAACAAAAAACACATACAAGAAACATCTAGATATTTTGATTCTAATTATTTCGCCAGAGTGACAATTCAAAGGCCTAGCGAATTTGAATAATTCATGCCAAAATATTATGGAGAGTAAAAGCGCCCATATACATACACATACATATGTATGTATGTATATGTATATGTATGTATGTATATGTACATATGCAAAATCCCAAAAAATATAATATAAATATTAATAAATTAGAAACAAACTCGTTACGCACACTAAAAGTAGCGCGTTCCTTTTAAAATTAAGTCATCTAATAAAAGTTCATGTGTTACTAGTTGAATCATCTTAAACGCTAACCACACCGTCACCGCTAACAAACTGTTCCCACTTTAGCAGCTGCATGAGAGCGGTCGACAGCAGCGGCATCAACCCTCCATAATACGTGGTCAAATGAAAATCCAAAGAAAAAATAACATTCAACGACGCTTCTGGGTACGTAAATATGTAAGTAAGTCAGCAAGCCAAGTGATGCGGTCGTTACACACAACAAACGACCAGCTGCCAAAGAAAACTGTACTTGACGCAAAGTGAATTAATAACGGCAGCGCCGTCGGCGGCCAACAACTGCTGTAAGTGGTGCGTCCGTCGCTATAACATCTAACGTCGGAAATGCCGAAGTGAACAGACGTAAACGTAAGCATGCCGAACGCTGTATAATATGTCATTTCAAAAGCCCCTTGCTCAGCCGCTGCAGCTGCTGCTATTTATTTTTTATTTTAATTTTTCAAAATTTGTCGCAGTGTATTTGTAGACCACAAATGGAAAAGAGAGAGCGAGAACGATAAGTTAAGAGCATTGCTATAGCCATCAGTTGCATCTGTTTCTCATGGGAGCAACAGACATGTGTTCGAAAAAATAAACTCGCTTTTAGTACAGCGCACCAGCGTGGGTACGCGCAACGAGCAATGGCGGCGAAATTTCCCGACATACTTATACAAAAACACAATACAAACGAATTCGCTTCACTTCGGCAGCGTTAACAATGAACAGGGGAAAGGTGACCGGCACATTTCAGAAGCTCACACGGTTGCTAGTGAATTGCTGCGCATTCTTAATGGCTACAAAGTCACTGCTCTCTCACAGTGAGTAGTACGAATTGGGCTATCTGTCAGATATACATACATATGTATGTATGTAGAAAAAGGCAATAATAACAATAATGAAAGGTAGAATAACCCACAAAAAGAGAAAGAACGACTAAGGAAAACAACAAATGATGAGTACAATGAACGCAAATTGTCGCAAGGTAGCCGGACGGACGTAGACAAAAAGGGGGTGACCAATATGTAATACTCTAGCCGTACAATGAATGAGTAGAATGGCTATATTGTACGCGACTTGTGCGCCGGTTCACATAATCGATGTTTTTCAAACGTGCGTACGCATATGGAAGCGTGATAATTTTTGTATGTTTAGTAAAGCGTAGCGCAAAATGGCACAATTACAAAACACAATTGGAAAGCGTACATACATATATACATGTATACATACATACATACAGAAAAGCAGTTTACATGAAGCAGCTTTCAAACGTCATTTCCATTGTTCGCCGTCTCGAAAGAAAAACGTGTATAGGTTAATGATTGTGAGAAAAATAAGTTGATCACGATGATTTCCAACTGTACAAATGCTACACAAAAACGGTGTTTACCAATGTAACAAACTTACAATTTGTTACAAGAGATCATCCGTCACAACCTTGCGAATAGAAAAGTTATGAGTGTAAGTAAAGAAAAAAGAGCGCGAGCAATTAATACGAGAGCATCATCTCCACACATTTTCTGGAGAGCATTAGGAATTTTATATTTCCATACCAGATTTTGGCGTTACGAATTCATTTGCTTTTAGTTTTATAAGTATTTGGCAACATGTTTTTTTAGTACATATTTCTATGGAAATTTAGAGAGTACGGAAATATGACCTTGAAAGAGCGTAAACCTGTTTCATCAATGAACTGATGAAGTTGTTAAAAGTCAGGAGCTAGTTTCAAAATATTAGAAGCTTGTGAGTATACAAAATAATGCCATCATTAGATTTAAAATTGTATCAATCTTTTCAGAATGGCAAATTTCTATTGATAGTGACAACAATTACTTCCCAATATTCTATGTAAATAGGTATTGATTATTGTTTGACGTCAGAGATAGAAAACAAAATTAGCTGACCTAAAAATTTATGATTTTGAAAAGTATTTAGTAACTTTTGGCCTACGCTCCAACCGGAGTTAAAGTAAATAATATATTTAGTAAATAATAATAATTGGTAATTCGTTTTAAATTATAATATTGCTATATATATTGTAATTTATAACCAATTACATTTCTAGTATTCATTACCGCCTACAAATTCATGCATTTACTAATAATTTTACAATATCTATACCATTTCAACTAATTTCAGTTGAGTTGATGGTCTGTCATTAATGATTCATTAGCCGATTTCAATCATGCTGTAGTCACATTTTTTATGTCTTCGCCAGCAGCAAGCAGCATGTGGGAAATATTTTTGCAATTGTAAGAAATTCTAGTATTGGAAATACACACATAGTGCAAAGGAAAAGCTGCAAAAGCTTACCAGGCAGCAATCAAAAGGTTCACAAAGCGTTAATAACAACCTAACCCACAAACAGCAGTCGGGCTCAACAATATTAAGTTGGAAGAAAAATAAAAGAAATAAAAAGAAAAAAACCGGCGTGCTATATAATCAAAGAAGAGCTGTCACTTATCACCGCTATAGCGACAATACAAATACACATAAGCAAGTGTGCGAATGGGACAACTGCATTCACGTACAGAGTGGCTATGTGCATAAATGTAGCTTGTATATAACAGGTTTGTTTTTATTTTGCATGGAATGCCATTTATGTATCTTCTTGTGCGCTTTTGTTTGTATCTTCAGCATTTTTTCATGTTGCTATCTCTACCCACCGCGTGCTCAAGCAGCTTAAGCATATACTCCGTTTTTCGCTTTTTCACATACACACACACACACGAATATATGTATATTTACATTAATGAAGTAAACAAGTGTATCTATGAAATAAATGCGAAGCACGAGCACGAGAGCGTGGCAGAGAATAAAAATACACGCTATGCCTACTCAGTAAATGATGAAAGGCATTACAGGTAAGTAGAAAAACACTAAAGAAAACAAAAAAAAAAAGATTAGAGCGCTAACTAATAGGCTTATCAAGTATGTATGTATATAAATCAAAAAGAAAGAAACATGTGAGAGATGTCATGAAAGGTTGTAGTAGAGTAATTATCTCAAAATTATATTGATTTTTTTTCCAGTATTTTGCGGTTATAAAAATTCATACGAAAGTGATTGCATAAAGCACTGCTTTTCAAATAATCAAATCATTTCTTTTCAAATACTAACAACATTTAGATTTCTAAAAAACTAAGACGAACATCTAAGCTAATCAAAATTTAAATAAAAATAAATTGTCAACTGTGAAAATATAGTATTTGTGCATGTTGCATGTGTAGGAAGCAACATAATCGGTCATAACTCCGCACACCCGTTACGCCGGCCGGCAAACCTGAATACAAACACATATTTCTACACAGCCGCTTGGGAAATAGGCTTATAGCTAGCTGCAATAATGACACAATGCTTGTTTGCTTAGCTCAGGGGTTGTGGTATAGGTACAGAAACGTCGAAAAAACTAATACAAGCGGTTACGTTTTAAATGCACGAACTTTCTTTGAAGTCTAGCTGCATTAATAGCAAAGAAAGTCAAAGAAAAAGTAAAGAGAGTAAGCAAAGACATTTACTTTACTCAATTATGAAAGCTGCGTGCATGCGCCTTTGGGTCGTTAACATTGTAATCATTAAAAACGGAAGCGCTTATAGACACAAAGCTGGAAAATGTAGTCTACAACAATGTTACAAAAGTAGTAGCACCTAAAGCAATCGATTGTTTTAGATAGCGTTCATCAAAGTGTTCATTAATTAGCTAAATCCAAGTGAATAGTTTCACACGCAAGTTTCTATAGTATATGGCTCTCATGCGCGCATAAGCGTCTACTAGCATGCACTGTAATAAAAAGAAAATCCATAGCATATTAATTGCTTTAATATCTACATTTTGCTACCAGCTCAACTGCTTCCTTACTACAATATATCTTATGTACACTACCAACACAATGCAGAATCATGATAAAACTATATCGAGCAACAAGCCACAAAAAGGAGTCAGAAGCGGGAGCAAAGGCTCACATAAGTGTTGCAATTGCGCGCTTGATTATATGGGGATTAGTAGGTGTATGGACGTCGGAGAAATTATTGATTTCCAGTCGCACGCCTCCACAATCCAAACTAAGTGCCGACGCGATATTAACGTCATTTGCTTATCAAAAATAATTTTATGTGGTAAATAAGCATAGCTATCTATGTAAGTTTACATATATTTAGGATGTGTGTGGTTAAGCAATAATAACTATTTAAATGTCATTGAATAATTTCTAACAACAAGGCTGTATGCCATTCTGCTCTATATACCAAATTTAACTGTTGCCATCGAAAAAAAAAGTTTAGGGTGTTCAAATACCACCCAAACGACCATCATTCGACCGCTAGAACTGTATCACATACAAATCGTCCTGCTGTTTGTCCCAAAAAAAAAATAAAAGAATGGAAAAGGCACAACAACAAAGGTCAAAAAGTATATGTATGTGCGTTGGATGGAGTCATTGCGTAAATATACAAAACATGCTTTTGACAAGCGCTGAGAGCCTACACATGTAACGATGTTTCGAGAGAATGTATAGGAGTCGGATGCGTTGGAGAGCATGAAATAAACATGTGAGCAGTGGAACAACACTGATGTCAGACAAAATGCGCGCGCTTGAATTCACACGCACACACATACAAATATGTAGCTCCAGGATTACATGCAATTTCCTGCCTCTGTCTGCTTTCAGCTATTGTAATAGCTATTTGCAAAGCCAACATATAAGAGCCCCAATATACGTTGCTGCTCCTTCACACGTTCGCCATTCTTTCTAGAAATTTCTAACGAATTTTTTCATTGAATTATTACATACAGTGTGAAATATTTATGTTTTATCAAACGTATGGGAAATTATCACGCGAATTGTGCTACATGTAAGTATGTGCATACTCAAACGACTATTTGTGTTGGATATGTTTTGCATGTTCTCGCCTTTTATTGCAAATATGAATCGCAAAGTCAATACATGCGAGAAATATATATGAACACGCTTACAGCATGAATCAGCTAATAAAGGCATTAAGGTGTGGAAATTACAAGAAAATAAAGTCTTCATGTAATGCCTGTATGTATGTATATGTATAAATAATATAACAAATATTATATAGTTATGTACATATGCTATAGAAAGCGTAGCACCTTTGAAATCATTATAAAACAATAAAGTGTTTTATATTTAAAAATAAACTACTTAATTGCGCCCGCATAGTAAAACGCCTATTAATACGAAAAAATTGTGTATAACTCAACGGCGTCCATGCGCTACACTGTCTGACTGTACTGTAAAATCGTGCACTTTGCTTGAGTTTCTCAGCAATTCTAGGGCATAAAAACTTATTGAAATACTTTTTGATAACGTTTTGTTTATGTTGCAATTGCTCCATAAACGGAGTACGACAAAATAAACGGGCGCGAAAATATTAATGGCGCTACTGTCAAATGGCTTGTCAAAATCTCTTATCCTCTCTGCATCTTTCGACACCTCTTCCCCCCGTTTTGACGTTATCTCCACAACATTTTGACTTCTCTGTACACATGTATGTTTGTTTGGGGAGAATACATACTTGTCGGCACACTTGACGCTGCACAAACATACACAAAAAGTTAGCCTAGTTTACGTAGAGTTAGAGCAGCACACAAATTTAGCACTAATTGAATTTTTTACTTGGCGTAGATGAACGGAAAGTTAACAAGCGGTTGTCGCTTTAAAATATATCCTTACGCATCCTGATTGTGAACTAAATTGTTTAAATAAAATATTATTTAATAAAAAATGTACTTACTTCGGCAGGCCGTTTTGTTCCTTTCACTTGTCCCTTGACGGGGGCGGCGGCATCGTTGGCTTCCTCATCGTCACCTTTTGACGCTGTACCATTGTCGGCGGCCGCTACTGTTTCATCGACGGCAGGCTTTTTGAGATCTTCCTTCACGGCTGCTGCCGCATCGACGGCATCGGCGGTAACTTTCTCAACAGCGACATCACCGTTATTTTGTTGTTCTGTGGCGGCTGACATTTTCTTTGATTTGTTCTGTGTAGTTTGTGTTTTTAAATATAATTAATATATTTTATTTTTGTTGTTGTAACTTATATAACTGCGTTCGCGGTTATTTTTATGTATTTTTACAAATTTATTTGATTTGCTTTAAACACAAGACGCGTACAATTTGCTTTGACGATCCACTCGGTACGAAGCACACAGACACACTGTTCGAGACTATCGTTTGCGGTGTGTATTTAACTTCTAAATGTTATTTCAGCGGTACGTTCTGTGCTGAGCTGAGCTGTTCTGTTCGCGATACGTAGATACTTTATACGTAAATGTATCTGTATCTACAGTCGAACCCAACAACAACAAACAACAACGTATGTTCGTTGTACAGCCGAAGGCGTACGATGCGATAGAAAGAATGCGGTGCAACAGCAAGGACGAAGACAGTACGTACAACGTTTGTCTTCTCTATCGCTCTAATGTGAAAGCAGGGCGAGCGTATGGAGCACACACTAGCTAGAGTGCTATAGGTAGGCAGATGATAGATACTTTATTATTTTATTGTTTGCTTCGGAAATGTGCACGCTGTGTGGCGGCTGACGACTATACAATCAATCGGGCAGGCTGACTGGCTGGCAGTTTTCAACAGAAAAAGCGCTTAGGTAGTTAGCTGTGGCTTTTAGCTGTTGTGCTGCTTGCTTGCTTGTATTATATTGCTTATATGTATTATTATTTATTGTAAGTGTTTTTTGGTTTACTAGGTATTTTCAACCACCGAGATGTGTACTCGTTGAGCGTCAGTTTGCGACTGAAAGCGTCTGCTCCACAGCAAAGCTGATGTGTTCCCCATTGATGGGTCCGCATAATGCGTGCCCCAATGCCAGCTAAAACTTTACGCTAATTTTTACGCTATAACTCTTATTTCAATCGATTTCAAAGTTATACCAATCGTTAGTGAAAAAATTCAGCTATTTTTTGAAATTAATTAAAAAATTCTGCAAACAAACCTGCGAACGCTGGTGACGCGTTTAGAGGGTTTCTTGAGTAATTCCATACAAATGCTGCTTGGGTTTCGTGAGTACAGTCGCCGCACAGTTCGATGTAGTGCCGTTTGGCGGTAAATTTGAAAATTGCTTCTATCGTTGCGCTAGCATTCCAAGGGTAGCAAGAGTGTTTGGTGCGGTGCGGGGATTAAATTGCTTTTGGTGTGCGTCCATACGCCTAGCTGACGATAGGTGTACATACATACAGGCAGTTGTAGATACATACATACCTAAATATGTATGTCACAATTGCTTATTTCGCTGTTCGCACCGTCGATGGCACGAACGGTGCGTCGGTGGAACTGACATAGCGTCGATTAGTGGGCCGTTGTGGCCATGAGCCGGTATATGAATCAGTATGCGGACGTACATACACACATATAATAGTTGTATGTATGATTTCAGAAGGGGTGGTGCGGTGTGTCGAGTTGGTAGATTGGCTTGCTGTTCTTTGGTATTGGTATCACTATTTGCTGTGTGCTCTACAAAAAGCACACAATTAATTCAAGCACGATATTTACAACCCAGTGATGTTCGTTTCGCTACACGACAGCTGTAGCGTTGTTGGGGATTCGTTGTGATGGCACTTTTGTAGATATGAAGTTGTTTGTTCGATTTGTTGGCACATGTCAGTAGTGTGCAACGCTGGGTCGCTTTCAGTTTATTGGGCTGTATTTAATAGAAAATAGCGACAGAAATACTTGAAAGTCTCCAGAGCATTATACTTACCATAAATACATAAAAAAATGGTAAAAATATTCAAATATTTTGCGATTCATTTATCCATATCATAATCATAAATTTAAATTCATATGGCATCACACTATAGTAAATGTATGCAAAAGTACCTCAAGTCACCCCAGTTGGGAACCACTGCTTAGAAAGATGTGACCTGCCACATTTAACTAAAACGACTTTACGTCGTTTATACACGTAAGTGAGTCAAATGCACTGCAAACGATTGTAGATACATACTCACATATTCACACATAAATAGATATGTAAGTATGTAGAATTATGCATGTTAATAAGTATGTACATATATGAGCACAAAAATGTAGGAGGAGTGCTACATTCACTTGTACGCCTGCCAGAAAAGTCATTTAACTGTGATCCAATGTTAAAATACATACATGTACTTTATGGATAATATATATGTAGGTAAATCCGTAAATCATCGGTATATATATTTTTATGTTGATTTGTATTTAGTAGCGCATTCGCTAGGCGTCAAATACGATTGCATATTGAAAATAAAATCGAAATTGAGTACAAAGAGATGGCATCAATCGAATTCAAGTGAGCATTAAGATGAATTGACGAAATTCTCTACTTGGTAGTGAGATGGGAAAGGATATTGATGTTCATTAAGCAAAATAACACATTACAGTAAAGCCTTCGTAACTGCGCTAAATAGGGTATTTTAAGTTTGCTATGATGCTTGAAGCATGAATGAAAAATGAAGCGGCATTATATCAGAATAATACCTCAGAGTTTTTGAACCAGACTAGAAAATAATTTAAGTATCTGTGCCATAAAAATAGCCAATCTAACATGTAGACTTGCTATAAGAAGTTCTATAGAAGGAAATGTTTATATAATTGATCAGGGCGTCTCATATTGATCATACTGATCTGATGATCATATGAATATACTAATTGCAAGTTTTGAGTATAGAAAGAATGAGAAAATATAAAAACATATATTTTCGTAAAACATGCAACAGACATTAATTTAGGTTTTAAGACAGATAATAAAAAGAAGAAAAGGAATAGTGGTCCACTAACCAGCACTGTCAAAACTCAAATACACAAATCCTCCTATCTAGTCAGATGTTATAGATCGACTAATGGCTCTATTCTTAGAAGCTTGAACTTCTAATATTCTGAGATGAATTTATTGTCATATTTAGTTTTCATTAATCTGCGAAATTATGTTATGTCTAAACTCAGTGTGATTTTTTTTTTGATAATAATTTTTCCAGCAATATCTGTCCCATCTCGGCAATTTTTAAATGCCTTTTCTTTATATTACTTAACCTAGTTTTAGGAATATAATTTATATTTTTTTTCTGTTTTTCGAAAAATTTTGTTTGTTGTCCTATGTTTAAACTATTTTTTTCCTTCTACTGGGTTTTTCGTCAATTATTTGCTCATCTTATTAGGTGTTTACTGTACAAATAGAGTACATTGCAGCTGTTATTGTGCAAAATAACGCCTGTATTGTTGCTTATCTAGACCGTTTTGCGCTTGTGTTTGCGACAGTTGGACAGCCATTCGAACGAAGTTGTTTTTCAACGTGTGAAGGTATCCGCTTTGAAAATTATACTTTTTGGCGGTGTTTTGGAGTGTAGCTACTTCACAAACATACTCCATAAGCACACATTTATACAAATAACGTTCGTTTGAATAAGTAAACAGGGAAATTATACTTTAACCAAATACACATGTGTATATAAACAATTATTGATAAGGAGTGAAAATTGTGTTAAAAATAAATTTAAAAAAACATAACGTTATCAAGCAAGTTTCAAATTTTTATCAATATGTATGTCTAGTAGTAGGTAAGCGAGTAGTATGAGTAGAGTACATACATAAGTACATACATATGTATGTCCTGTACAGTTTCTTTTTAGTTATATTATACAGAGTCCATTTTGTTTACCAGCATATTAGTATGTGTATTTATAGGAGTATGTCTGTACACATTAACCTATCTACATACTTGCAAAGTAAAACTGAATACTTTGTTTTGAAGTGTTTTCCCGCCTATTTTAAAAATGGCTCACTACGCTTGTGGTTCTACTAATTTCCATATACATACATACATAAGTATATAAACGTCTTAATATATAGTAAATAAATATGTAAGTATATATTTCTATACATAAATATACATACCTAAGTATATTTAGTATTACTCATTAATATATAATTTAAATATTTTATTTAATAGTCCACACAAACAATTTCGTGCTACATACATACAAATGTACATATTTAGCATTTATGAGCATTCACGAGTGACGAACAAGCTTTTGCGTGTAGTTTTCTTCAGTATTTCTATTCGGTTGCCATTTCACAACTATTGTACTAGCTTTTGACTAAATATCACATACTATATGCATTACACCTGTTGTAGTCTAGAAACGTTCACCTAAGTAATTACTATCGTCGTTTTATACATCTTTGCTGTTCGCGTCGTGATCGTTATTGCCGTCAACGCTCTAACATTAAAGACTTTAACAACGATTCCATTGTACGCCGCCGCGAACTCATTCGTGTTCACAATTTAAGCATCGTGTAATTTTGTTATTGTTTTTACACATCTACATATTTTTTTGTTTTTTCAAAATGAATTTTTTCCTAACTGAAAGCTTTTTGATAAGTCATAAGTGGAAATCTACATTCGGAGCACATTAATGTAAGGGGGGTGTGAGAATTGGTGGGAATAACAATAAATCGTTATACAGATGTAAGTTCATGTATGAGTGTGTTTCTGTAGCAAACACAAACAATTTTGCAAATCTGTATGCCGACACCGGCAAACAACACTCAAACAAGCAATATATACATTTATATATAGATATGTGTATGTGTGTTGGTACATTTATATTCTGTTGTTTCTTTAGTTGGCAGTTCGGGTTTTCTTCTTTCGGCTGTCGGAAAACAACAGCAAAATGGAGTGTATTCGTGGGTAAACAAGCATTTGTGTATTTGTGCGGCCACGTTAGGCAAGTCAAAATGCTGTGTTATCAGAGTGTTGACTCAACTCATTTTGTTGATTTCTTGATTTTTACTGCTAACCCCTAGACAGTGATAAGGTGGTCACAAAAAGCTGTAAAAGCTTGTGTATATTTATATTTTATATAAATGTGTGTAGGAATATGCATGAATGTTTGTTTACTTGCTTTGATTTGATGACATTTTTCTGGGCTTCTGGAATTGGATTCTTAAATAACACAAATTTAATAAAAAGCAAAAACTTACTTATACATACATACATGTGTATACATGTATATAAGTAAATAGGTGCAGATCTCAGAAATTTCCACAAATTTTTTCGAGTAGTGTAAAGGTGTTGTGAATCGCTTTAAACATGGGCGATTTGAAAGTAATATGTAATATTCAACTTTATATTATTGATAGGCAAGAAAATAAAGAAATTGAAAATATTTTGCGGATAGCATAGCTCAAATATAAAACTACGGAAGAACCTCTTGGTATGAGCCACAAGAAGTTTAATCAATATACCGTCATTTAGTTGAGTGAGCATCATGGCCAGTTCTTGTAGTGATTTGTAGTGTTTTTTACGAGTGAAGGGACCTATATAGTGACTTCACCGAATTTAAAATTTTTTATCACGCAATTTTTAAAAATAGAAATAAATTCACTATCTATAGAAATAACGGTACTACAATTTTAGCTAAAATTTTATATTGAGAAGATTTGCTTTTGTGAACATTTTCTCTGAAATTAAAAAGGTATAAATATAACCTTGGTTGAGTATTAAAATGTACTGTTTTGCTCTATATTTTCCATTGGTCCTCTGCAGTATTTAATAATGAAAATATTTATTACAGAAAAAATCTTTTATAATTTATATATTCTATATCGTTTATGTATGTATGTATATTTGAACTAATTATTATTTGTTTTAAGCATTTATTTGGTTTTTCTATAGCATATTTAGTTATTTTTACCAAAAGTTGATTACAAGTATTCATATCCCACATTGCCTAATCAAAAGAAAAATATAGCACAGCATTTTGCCTTTTCTTGCTTTATATTCAAGCTAGGTGTTACAGCGTGCGTCCAGTGACGCCGGATGGCCAGGGGAAGCGCGCGTGCTGTACACCGCCTGTGTGTGGTACAATGTGGCTGAATGTACAGTTTGATCTTGCGGCAGAGATGCCAACTACGATCAAACAAATAAATTTATATGCGCTCAGGTTAAATATAAGAAAGTGTCGAAAGCAGAGTTGCCGTGTTAATTTAAGCAGATCAAAGTGATGAACTTTGAGTGAATTTCTATATTTTTTATACAGTACTATTATACATTTCTAAAAATATTTGACATATGTATATTATATCAAAAGGTGCTGATTGTTATGGGATCGTATACATTGCAAGTTAGAAAAACGATTTTTTTTGTCGATGTTTTTGATGAGGCATTTTATTTAGTTAATAAATAATTAAAAATGCAGAATTTTATGTATTTTAACAAGCGTCGATTCATTTTGGAAAATTTCGGATTCCTTTGTTCCTGTATCTGAGCTCCAGGAGGACTTCCAAAAAAGGGTGGACAGTGAGGAAGATTTTCCAGCTTAAAGTTATTTTAAAACCAATAACAAAAAAATGTTACTATGGATATATGGAGCGATTGAAGGACAAGTGAAAATTTTGATTTTGGACAAAATGGCTTTTCCAAGTCTAATTTTGTGAACAAATTTACACTTCACTTAGAAGATTGCTTGAAAGATCGTTCGAGCCGCTTCGGCAAAATTTTTCTTACCGACTCTGAAGACAGCGCTTCGAGAACAACGCGTTTAAAGTTTTGGTCAACTTAAAATTTTCGGAGAATATACATATGTACATTCGACATATATATATATATATGCAAAAAAGTAGATATAACCCCTTGAGTAAGAATGAAATTTTGTCCTTTCATTTTTCTTTTTGGGAAATGTTTGAATTGTTATTTAGGCACACTGTTCGAAACCATAGTTTGTCCCGTTTATAATTATGTAAATGTTTTATATTAAAAAACCTCTCACATATAACCTTTTTCAAACCTACTACAATTGATAAAATTTGGCAACTCTATGGGGTAGTAAACGCAATTTTATTTTATATTTTTATGTATGTATATTTAAAGGCTGCTTCCTCATAAAGGGTGGTGTACGAGTAAAGAATTTTGTGGTGGCTAGGTAAGCAGATAAAGGACAGCTGCTGCCATTTAATATACTTATGCACAAATATGTACAAACACACAAATATATTAAGTATACACCTTTACTGCCTTTGTCTTGTGCCTACGGCGTTCTTTATTATGTTAATTACCAACACGGTGACAGAAGCATTGATGTTTAGGCTCGTGTGACAAATTTGTGGATTAACACTATACAAATATATATTTACATACTATTTGAATAAAAATAATACATATATGTAAGTATGGTATGTATGTAAGTATATAAAAATGATCATAGTTCGACACAAAATCGAATTCAGTAATTGATGTAAGCCTCAAATTGTCATTTTCGACAGCAGCAGGGTGTAAGGGGTGTCATTAATCGACATGTAAAAAAAATAATTTATAAACGTGTGTAGGTAATTGTTTTTTGTGCACCTATGACAACATTCGATCGAATGTGGTATATGTGGAAAATGTACACTGTATCCTGATGTGCGTTCCTACACTGAGCAACAAAAGTAAGTAAGTACAGAAAGCAAGAACCGTTTACCTCGGCAGCACCGAAGCTATAATAGCTTTAACAATACACTTTTTATAGCCAATATACATCTCTATGTATAACTAAATCAGTTTTGCTAGTTCGTTTTTTAAATCAATCTTCTAGTCGAATTAAGGTTGCTTTATAAAAAAAATTATCTTATATGAAGATCTTTATCTTGATTTTGATCAGTCAGTTTGAATAGCAGCTCTATTCTACAGTTGTGCGATCTGAATAATTTATTCTGTGATTGGGACGATGTCTTGGACAAAAATCAATGTCAAATTTCTTGAAGATGTCTTGTCAAATAAAAAAGTCTTTCATACAATCACCTTAGTTTGATCGGTCTGTTTGTATGACAGTAATGTGATCATATATGGTAAATGACCAGTTTCTTGACTAGAAAACTTAGCGACTAGTTCGCGTATATACAAACAGACGGACTTGGCCTACCCATAGACCCAGCTTATCATTTACATACATTATATGATCTTCGACTTTTCCTTCCGGGTGTTACAAACTTCGTGGCAAACTTAATTTAAACCTGTTCAAAACACCGATTGTGTTCGTGAGCTTCACCTTAAAAGTTAGTATTATAACCCCTCATGACAAATGACCGAGTGCATAATCATTTCTATCATAAAATGTAATTTTTATTGGAGTGAAAATCCGAATGAGAGAAGAACCAACAGCTTTAAGTCATGATGAAAACAAAAAAGATTTGTGTGAGAGAGCTTCTGCTTCTTTTTGTGATTATACAATCTGCTATTCAAACAAATAACTGATAGTCAGTTGGGGGTTGTTGTAGAATATGTTTTTCGCTTGTATCTATACTTCTGAAGCTGAGTGTGTTTGGGAAATATTTTTGGCAACAACTTCAGCAGAAGGTTTAATATACCGACTAATATATGTATATAGAATTTCAAAAATCAGTGGATGGTGGGAACAAATGTTGATATATGTACATATGTATGTGCATACATCGCCGTATAATGGTTAGAGGTGCGCATTACCAGTAGGCAGGATCAAAGTTCAGTAACTATCTCAATCTGTCATAAAATGATTGTAGGTCCCTCCATGTTTTGGATAATATCAAGGCTCATACATAAATGGAAGTATTTTAAAACATACTATCACGTTGTGAATTAAGGAAATCATCTCGTCACTTTATAAAGTGAGGATAGTAATAAGGTTGATATGTTTTCTTTATCAAATTGATCAAGTTTTTTTTTAAATAATACAATACGATTTCAAATTTCATAGAGCATAGAGAAAGTTTTATTGCAATAAAAGAGCTAAATGAATATGTCCAACTTTATGTATTGAAATTAATTCTCTTCATTGTATTTGTAAGGCATAACTGATTGTTAATCGCTAAATTTATGCAGCAAAACTTTAACCGTATAATATAGATGGTCGTTGCTCTGCCTTTAACTTGAGCAGTCGACTCATTCATTTCCTTTATTAGAGTATTAAACTACAAATCGCCTATATTTATTGCGATAACTTATATCTGTATACCTTTAAAAATAACATACTAAAATTTAAACTCAATATCTCAAATATTTTTTTTAGTTAAAGTCTACTAAAATATAGCTGCTTAATTCAATCAGCACCACAAGTTTATTTTTAAACGAGTTTTTATCGAATTTGCTTGAGTACAAATGATCCGATAACATTACAATTTTTTTGCATGTTCTGTATATAGTT